GAAATACCGAGTGAGACACTGGTGGTCACCCATCCCAACACGATCCAGATTCCAGACTACAGTAAATCTGAGCATACGTTGAACAAACTATTTGGTGATACTATGTTCGTAGAGCACACGCTCAAATAACCAAAAAGCAACACATTTGTCAGTAGCATTGCCTTGAGAATATTAAATAACGTTTTGGGCGATTATGTGCTATGAAAAAGGGCCGATTGCCCGGGAATGTCGCCTATTACACGTTTGCTTTTAAGGCAGCGTTGTTGACAAGTTAAGCATCTTCCATTGGTAAACTCTATCAGGCCAGCAGAGGGCAACATTCCTTCAATGTTGAAAGAGTGGCATGTGTTACGTAACTTTGTCACTCGTCAAGAATAAAATCAAGGCTGAAGCTCCAGGCCGCACGTGAACATAAATTGTAAAGCAGCCAAGAATGATCCACCTCCCATTCTGGTTCAGTGAATGAAAGTCGGCTCCCACGATGTCCTTTAAACCTGTTTCAAAAAATTAGAACCCTGTCACATCAAGCGCCGAGCCCTAGAGTCTGACATTGCCAAGAGTGTTTTGTAACAAAGTGAGAGCATTATCTACGGGGGGGGGTCAGAGGGGTGGGTGGAATACTTTTGGAAAGCGGTTCACTTTTCCACGCTCTTTGCCTGAATTGCATGAGAACGTGATGCGGATCGTCTAACAACAGATCCGTCACAAAAAGTACTACAAGGAGTTTGAGCATTACAAAGCATTTTAACGATACAGGGCTAATCGCAGACTTCTTTATTTTAAGGCCCATTTTGTTGATGTTAGGGGCCGTCCATAAATGACGTCACTCACATAGGGGGGGCGGGGTCAGACATTTGTGACGATGTGTGACGAGGGGGGGGGGGGTGAGAAATGTGACCTCACATCAAAATGCGCAACTTTAAGTAAATATCGACAACACGTTCTACTGAATTAAATAGACTTTTTAATAAATGTTTTTTCCTACAACATCAGAGTGCAGCGGCACATTAAATACGCGCTACAATGACAATAGTTTAAAGCGATTTGAAGCATGTTTTATTTGGGGGGGGGGGGGCAGAGTTTTGTGACGTCATATTTTAGGGGGGGGGGTCTGACTTTTTGTGACGCCGTGTGACGAGGGGGGGGGTCAAAAATCGTCCAAAATCGCGTGACGTCATTTATGGACGGCCCCTTACCGGTTTGTGACAAAACGGCCGAGTGGCTCAGCGGTAGAGTCGGCAGATCACAATTGGTCAGCGTGCGAGTTCAAGTCCTGGCTGCGTGTTGATAAAGTCCCACTTTGTGGGCAATTCAACTGTGCTTATCCTATAGACACATTGCCCCATGCCATATTGGAATGCGGAATTTCCACCAAGGACTGTTAAACAGACGAGCACTGCTTCGATGCTCATTTGAGCGAGACATCCTTTTTTTTAAGTAACTAAATTGGTCTGTGCTCTAATGAACTATAATCAGTGTTAAATAGACACGTGGCTTTGAAGACAAATATTATCCAGCAACCTTTGTTTAAGCAAGCGAACTCTGAACGGTTTTCTAGCGTCCAGAGATTTATCAGCAAACTCCAAGATTATTAAACAAATGCTGCTGGGTTGGCAGATGTTAAAATAAGAAAGGTAACTAAAGCTATGTATCCAACTATGTAACGCTCATGAAGGATTAAGGTCCGACTCAAAAGTTGGAATAGACTTTAGACGAAGGCACTACCACGAGAGTTAGCCTATCCATAATATTCTTATATCATTTTACCTCATTCCTCTAACCATATTAAGCAGATTTTGATTTAAAGCTTTCGTAACTGCAGGGATTCATATTCTTGGTTCTTTCGGTAAAGTCACCACGTAGAAGGGAAACAAAATATAAAACAATGTTTTATATATAAAACAATGTTTTATATTTTTATTATTTTATTGTTTCCCTTCTACGTGACTTTACCGAAAGAACCAAGAATACATATTAAGCAGGTTTATACAATCATATTAAACAAGTGTCGTTAAACCCGCCACCACCCGACAAAGCCAATTAGTAAGGTTTGTCACGTAAACAGAACGTGCCAATTCGTTACTAGTACAGCAAGGAGACACAAATGACGTCATCACATCTCTCCCTCGATTTAAGGAACGAAACGGGAGGATTTCTCCATGAATCTATCTGTTGTCTGATGAAGCAAGTTGCAATTACTGACGAAACGTCGATTGTAAATGTTGTCGTTTTGCTCTCCAACACACCGGTGTGGCTGTACTAGTGTCGGGTGGTGGCGGGTTTAACGACACATTTATACATTTACGCGATCTAACCCAAAAACCTCTTGTGGATGATATTGGTCGCGAAAGCCTGCTACGTGTTAATAAACTGAGGTTCATCGGTATGAGGGCAAAATAACAAGGATCGATGTTGCGGCCTGTCAAAATAAGTCCCGGAAAAGCGTTCCGGACCCACTGTGGCTACTGTCGCTTTATATCCTAAAACATAATGCCATCCTATACTTTGCATTAAAAACGTGACTGAGCTCTATTGGTGGGTGTTGACATTTCAGTAAAAAAAAATCGCCCCTTGCAGAGAGTTGAATCTTTAAAAAAAAAACATTTAAATTTGTACATTTATTTTGGTCTTATGGACACCACTTAAACCCACATCGGCACAAATTTTGTTCCAACGTCAAGTTTAAGAACATGAATTTCACTCTCAATTTCTTGCTTGCATCAGCTGCTCCCATGATCAAGTTAATTTGGTTACATTGTGTTTAGTATAATTTGGTTATGTTTGTCTTGCTGTCCTATTGCTGCTGCCCATTTCTGGGCATGTATCCACAACGGTGACATCGTCAATCCTTCAGCCAGTCAGGTATTGCCCCAACTGTCTGTTCGTAAGTCCAACTTTACTGCTGTCGATTCCAAACACGTTGTACGGCTTTAAAAAGTGTATCACCTCCTGCGGATGCCACTGCTTATTCATGTTCTGCAGATGTAGACGCCACCACCGCCATCGATTGCGCGGCGGTCGAACTTATGACTGCGTCTCTGTCCGAACAGGCTACTGGACATAGGGACAGGTTTGTGCGCATCTCTGAAAGTTCGTAAGTCGAATGGTCGTAAGTGGAGGACTGATGCTCCTGTTGTTGTGGAGTGACTCATGCAGCCAGCTATGGCTCTAGGGTTTGGTGTTACATGTTATTTACGTAGTTTAGTGTTAAAAATTCGGTCAGTCCCTATGATCACTGTTACATTGCATTTATGGCTTTATTTTGGTGATTTCGAAAACGTTTTTTGGTTTGGCCATGTTTTTTCATTGTAGTACGGAGTTAGACTGACGGCCTTAATCTTAGTTGTCTTGTGGTTGTTGTTTGACTTGCATCCCACTGGGTTTTTTTTTTGCACACAGCGTTGGTGTACGGTGCTATTTCAGGAATATTTTGATGTTTTTTTTCCTGGATTTTCTGTTTGCACAGTCACATGTTTTCTTGTTCATGTTTTGTTTGTTGCGGTTGCACCCGATTCAAGAGCCGAATGGCTCACAGGGCTATACCAAATAAATGGAACTATGAAATGGAACTGTACAATAAAAAAAAGTATAAGAATGTACAGCCCTGTGGGGGCCGGGAACGGCACAATACTCGCCTGCCCCTTGTAAACACGTTGGAGGGGAGTGAGACGCGAATCGTTTCCAACGTTTTTAGCTATTGGCCGACGGCGACTTGGAAGTCTGAGCCCAGTTGTGCAAGGCGAGTAGATCGACACCTGAAGCCATACGATTGCGAGTCACGTGTTCGTGGTCCCGACTGTGATGACGGAACCCAGAGCTTGCCTTCGGTTATCATTTCAAGTACGGACGGTATGCTGCTGCTGCTGCTGCAAACGAAAACGAGGCCAGAGTTCATGGACTTGCTCTTGTATCTGAAGTATGTTGGCATAGGTGGAGATGAATATCAATACACTGTACAAAAATGTGTTTCCGTACATAAAAGCACACCTTATTAAAGCAACACATTACACTGAGGAACACTTCTGATAGAAGCACATTTCTGATGAGAACACATGGCGTTTGATCCCCAAGGGTGCGATTATATCAAAATGATCCTATATTTAACATCGCTTTATGCAGCGAGGAATTATATTTTTATAACTTTAGAAAGATGTTAGGCAATTGCCTTACATAGATGTCATTTTGATGACTCAAATGAGCTCTGAAAAAGCAGACCCGTCTCAATTCTCACCTAGCATTATCATGCCACATTAACCGAGGTGCTTCCATTCCACTGCGTAACAATGAAGCACAAACATTCATCACCCTTCAATATAAAGCCACACTTGTGCCATCTCGGCATTGCCATATAATCAAGGGGAAACAGACGTGCCTGCGGGGAGCCACCTGAATAATATACACACAGTAGCTAGTGTTCTATCAAGACGGTATCGACATGTGCAAGCACGAGTAAAGGGGTGAAACTATGGAACCGCTTTAGAATATAATCGGTAATGCAAAACACAAATAAAGTTAGGTTTTGATTGGGACTACGTGATGGAGAGCGCAGAAAAAAATCCATTGTACTGTACTGGTATGCTTCCGGACATTTACCAAAACACGCTGACCAGCGGGGTGAAGTATGGTCGAATATGACCCCACAGGCCGCATCATGTGGGGAGGACCTCATGCAAGCAGTGGATTGACTTGACGATAGTTTACTTTGTAGAGCCACTTGTTATTTTTGTTGGATTGAGCCATTCCAGTTGCACTTGGGCCATTTTTCACTCTCAAACTCACCCCCCCCCCCCCCCTATAGGTTATACAGCAACATCCAATGGCATCCATCAGTATTGCGTTGACACTAGTTGATATATTGGAGAGCAGAAGTGTGAAACCCTCTTGCATTCCCATTTCATGCTTATAAATCAACTTTATTGAACCTTCTGCAAAAAAGATTCAGGTTAATGTTAAATGAACGCACACGGAGCTTTTTAATAAAACCACGAATGGCATGAATGTTTATTTTAATATACAAAGTTTATTGGGTTAATAAAAACTTAACAGAAATCTAATTGGTATTAACAGTGACTACTTGACTAAAAGTAGCAAGCGAATAAAGTAATTTGCATACATTACTGAAGGAACTAACAATATTTGAACAGGATAATGGATTTCATATAAGTGTTGTAAAATGTAAGTTTTGTTAAATTTACTCATGTTCATTTCGACAGCCCCAAATCACGAATCAAAAACCCCCGCTCTTACTCATATGAGATTGGAATATGTATTTAGACTACTGTTTTCTAAAATAACTTGATAGCTTTATGAAAAGAAACTCGTACAAAAATTTTTTTGTTGGAAAACAAATGGATGTGAAGCTGATGGCAGAGGCCTCTTTGGAAACCGCACATGTTGAACTGTAGCAGAATATACTAAAAAAAACGTACAATGTAGTTTACACTTTCATTTAAGGGAACAAAGTAAATATACATTTACAGATTGCAGGTGAGAAGATATATCGTATATTTAAAAAAAATCATCTTTTTTCTCTTTCAGGCAAAGTACAATTTAATCATTTAAGATCAATCATGTGTCAAAACAGCTGTGCTCACTTAAAGACTAGAAATTCACCAAGTCACCAACAGTAAATGAGAAAAATATACATGTTTGTATCTTAATACCAGAAAATTCCGAAAATAATCCTCTGTAGCAAAACAATACACATCAAAATATTATTACAAAAGCAACAGACACTTAAGGAACCAAGGCATTTTGGTCATAAATTGGGGGAAAAGTTCAGTAGTTGTGATGGGTATATTAAACAATATAATGTACCCAAGCATGTCAACCCTACACTAATTATGTCAGACAAATGCAAAATAAACCCCGTTGGTGGGAAAATATTTACGCCTAATCTTTCTTTGTAAGTGACTCATAACCAGTAAACGCACAGTTACACACACACACTCACAGTTACACACGACACAGTTACACACACACGACACAGTTACACACACACACGGCACCGTCTCACACACACACACACAGTTACACACACACACCCAGGATTCCACATCGACTTTCAGTGTCACCCCCCCCCCCCTATCACAGTAGCAGAGGCACGTTAAGGTCTTGGGTTTGTGGCGGATTTTTCACAGCCGTATCCCTGAAAGTTGGCTGCATCATTTTGGCTGAAGTTACTATTTTCCATTAGGACCCTGCCCTTAAAGGCAAGTAAGCACCCTTAAACCTGGGCCTCAGCAACTCTGGAAAATGCTTACTGCTATTAATGGCAAAGTACGTCAATAAAGTATTTTCGAGAATTTTCTTACATCTAAGTGGCCATTTAGGCATTGTTAAGACTTAATTCTGGCGAGGACTACGTATACAATTGTTGGAGGATAAATCATCTGTTACACAGTGTTGCGAGCCGTTAAAGTGAATTTAGCATTTTTAAGATGTCGAGCTAGAATGTACAATGTACTATCTAAGTAATTTGCAAGAATAGGAAAGATAAGATTGCCGCCCGGGGCTAAAAGTGGTCAATAAGCACTGAAACGCAGTTTGCTCCCTTGTAGTTTGGATCACTGGCCTTCTGCCAGTTACTGGGCTCACCTGCAATAAAGAGAAAAATCAATGTTAACAATTTTACTCATAAAAGATCAATCATAAACAAAAAATGCATTGCATATGCATATATATCATTCCAGATGTCAAATGTGGTGCATTTTGAAATATATATTCTCCACTCGATCTACTGTTGGACAAAGACCTGGTATATATTGAAGCCACTGTATCTGAGAGGTTAATTAAAAACAGATATGGCTAAAGGTTTACATTTTAATGTTGACAGCATTACACAAATATGACACGTAAACGCTAATAAAGTACAATACTTATTGCTGCTGTAATTAATTACTGGACTCCAACAATGACATACTTATTAGGTGAGAATACTTAAGACGGATTATTACATCGCAGGATCATGGGAGATGGTGACAGCTTTGGAAGGCCTTTGCCCAGCAGTGGATTGATCATAGACGCTGCTGCCGATTTAAACATGCATCTCTCCTTTCAGCACACAAGTGCAAAGAAGGCATACGGTGTTTAATGGCACTTACAGTGAGGGAGTCGGAGTTCCACTGGCTTAAGGAATTTGAGACCATGGGGGCCACACATCACAAGAGGGCTCAGCAAGGTCTCTCCTGCACACCGCAGAACAACGAGTAATGATCATACAGCCAACAACTTCACAAGCATGAAAAACATGGGGGGAAAAAACGTTGAAACATTAAAATAATTTTTTGGCGATTTATTTCATATACATATAAACACTTTAGATTTATTAATGTCGTATTTAAATATTTTGAAATGTTAAAATATACATTTTTTTGATCAAACAAAAGGGCATCTACAAAAATGTATGAAAAGAAGTAACATAAAAAATATATAGTTTGATAATGGTCAAAACATCCAAGCTTTTCCCTTGAATCAGACAGCACAGCAGGCAACCAACCGGGGGGGATGGGGGGAGGGGGTTGGACCTCGCAGACTCACACGCTCCACTGGACCTTCTTACCCTTCTCCTTGTCGAGAGGAGGCAGGATGCTGTTGTCTTTGCAGACCTTGAAGTAAATCTCCTGCTCCACGGCTGGTGGGATGGCTCCCTTTGGGATGATTATGCTCACGCCCGTCTCCACGGAGCTGAGCACCCCACCGTGCGTGTCGAAGACGCCGCGTGCTGTCGCCAGCACCGTGTGGCTCTCGTCCTCCAAGGCACTGGAACTTGAGATACGAGAGGCGACAAGCGGCGTCAGAAGAAGCCACATGACGCGGGTAGATTTCCGCGTCCGTGTTGCACAGCTTTCCAATGTAATTTGGGGGTTATTGCGTGTTGTGCGGCATCATGTCCTGACATTTTGCACTATGTGCCGGGAGCACTTACACGAAGCTCCCAGCACATCGGAGCAAAACCTTGAACGTCACGCGAAATAACACACAGCACAACACATCCGATAGCAACAATGTTGGTGGCGGGGGTGGCACGGGGGGAGCTAACATTTGAATCGGAGGGAACGTTGCTGAGAATTTACAGTAGATTGAATTCCAGATAGCTACCTGGGATTAAACCAGGTTCTCTCTAGTGCAGTTGATTCTGCCTGCTTGCACACCAAAACATTTATATTTCAGGATTTTTGCTTAATTAGGCCTATTCAAGTTCGAGAGACACATTTTTTTGCCCATTACCATGCAATACTCTTACCCAGGGCATATAATGGAGCACCAACAAAAGGTTCATTGAAGTGACTTTTAAAAGTAATTTCTGCAATGTCACATTTGAGAGCTATTCTCTGTCATGACACGAGGCACCACTTAATGAGTGTGGAAATGTATTTGGCTTATGAGGGCGATGAAAATTTAGATATAATTGTTGCCAAGTTAAAAATAAATTGGCAGTGATTCATCTCAATGTTACCAGCAGCAGCTCAAAAACCAAATATCAAATTACTGACGGCAGAAATTACTCATTACGAGAGAGATAATTCGCAGGGAGCGCAGGTAAGGAGTATTTTTTATACAGATACAATTACTTAAGACAGTACTTCATACCAGAAGCTAACATGTTTAATGGTGGGATTTATTAATTTTAGTGTGGCATTCCATTACCATTTAACACATTCCTGCGGAGGGAGCTGGTAGGAACGTTGGATTGCTCGGTCAATGGCCAGGGTCAACGGCGGCACCACGTGGTGTATTCCACAAATATGCCCGACTGTGAGGGCGGGCACAAGCCGGCGTGAGTAGGTTAAACGTTGAGTTTTATAAGGCCACCACGGGGTGACCAGCCCCTCCCCACGCAGCCCCACCCTCCCCACCCAGCCCCTCCCCACCCTCCCCACCCAGCCCCTCCCCACCCTCCCCACCCAGCCCCTCCCCACCCTCCCCTCCCTCCCTCCCCAGCCCCTCCCCTCCCCACCCAGCCCCACCCCTCCCATTTTATCCGGGTGTCCAGATACACGTGGACAGACATCCACAGACATACACAATTAATCCCCTGCCTCCTGTGAATTAATCCCGGTTGGGCTTCCAGTCCACTACGTTTCCTACCAGTAATAGGCACATGCTTTCGGACTTCTTGCAGTACATCATGTACTTTTGCAAGATTCATAGAAGAAATGTCATGCCGTTAAATATCATGGCGATCATATATTTGTATACGTAATTGAAACACTGAGTTTCACTTATGTTCAGAAGGTTCCTGCTTAAGAATGTACACAAGGAAAAGCACAAATGTGAAGGGATAATGCAAAAATAAATCACACTGTTATTTCAGTAACCTGTCTTACTGCCTCATATGGGCAGCTTCAAGCCATACAGCACTTTGTTCATCCCCTGGATAAGCCCACCTCACCCCTCCATAAAAATACTCTCCTGTTTAAGTTCCCATGTGCACGTCCACCACGTTTGAACAGTGTAACTGCGATGGGGTCACATTTAAAAATAACCATTCAAATCCGAACTGTGTTTTACCGCAAAACTCATCTTATCCGTGGTGATTTGAGGTGCTATTTTGTGGGTACGTGGTAGTATTAACATTAACGTAAAATGTTTCCTGTTATCTGTGCCATCATCTGTCCAGATAAAACCAGAGAGCTATTACCACCACTTCCACGTGAATCCTCCAATCTGCATAAAGATGCGGATTTTCGGATGAATTAGCAAATCTGAGAGACCACTTGCAGGTAACTCATCCATACAGTAACCATCGCTGGATTACCACCGCCATCATCAACTAGCACGACACTCGTTGGTTTAAGCTAATTGGATTAAACAAATGCAAGTACTTTATTCCAAAGGAGACCGCAAGAGATACGCACCTGACAGGAATGGCTTTGGGGGCAACAGTCATGGTCTCGGATTGGAACTGTGGCTTTGGGGGCTCCTGAGGTTTCGTTGTAATGTTGATGCTTGCGGGCTCGTACTGCTGGCTGCTGGGCCGGAGCCCACTGCTGTCCGCGTCATTGGGAAGCAGGTTGTGTATGAACTTGGGGCTGTCGAACTTCCGCTGGAAAGGCTTGGCAGTGCCGGGCGTGAATCTGCTGTAGGACAACGTTGAGGTTAGTCCCGGCGTTTAAGACGTAACAATGGCAAAATGGGTTCTCGCTTGACAGAGGCAAATCTTTACGTACGTGACCTACAAAATATGTACAAATGCTGCAGCAAGTGTGCTTACTCACACAGGTAGTTCAAACCATGTTATTCTGGCTCTTTAAAGACTGCACTGGTTTCCCATTTACATCAGGATTTATTTAAAAGTTCTGCTTACTACTTATAAGGCCAGCCTTTAATGGTGTTGGGCCCTCATGTTTACAGGAACTGTGCACACCGTATTGCTTCCATTTGCACATTGAGATGAGTGAATGCTGAACTTTTTGTATTTCCTAATAATCGTCGAAAACCATTACAAGGGAGAGGTTATCGTTGGTTGTATCATGATCTCTCAATGGAACTCTTCCAAATTATATCAGGAAAGCACATCGGGAATTACATTTATGGACAAGATATTTTACGTAATATTTGATTCATAATTAGTGTATTTTGAATTAGATACTACATAGCCAATCAAAAAGCAAGTTGTCACATAGGCATGTATGCCAGTTCATTTGGTTTATTGGCAAAACCGAAGGAATGTTTGAAAAGGAAGCAAAACTCGCGAGAGTGGACCTCAAGTGACCACCTGATGACAACTGGATGTCATCACCAGCAATGTGTTGCATGAAAAAAATTGTCATAAATTTTGTTTGCTTTTCAATGTTCTAATTTTGGCTGATAAACTAAATCAAATGGCATATTTGCCCACATGCAAACTTGATTTGATTGGCTCTGTTGGGTGCTCGAGGGTTATAGTTGGACATTGGCATTCTATAACCGTAATCTATACTGTAAAAACAGATTATGAATCATTGGTCACGAAAGCCTACGTATATAAAAAGTATTAACACTAATTTGTCGGAGATTTCTTATTTTAAAGCTATATAGAGGTCAATGTCTTTTTTGGGTTATATTACAAGGAACCCAGGGATAAAGAGCATTATATAAAAGCAAATTCCACCGTACATATAACCTTAATGGATAAGATTTGGAAATCTTTTGATTACAATTTTTTTAAAGCACTGTAAACACTATCGTCTAATAGAATAGTTTATGTTACACAGCTGTTGACTGGCGATGCTTTTCATTCCCTGTAAGAATTTTCTTTAATAAACCAGAAAGATAAAATATATCATTGCTCATGACCTCACCATGACATAAATAAGGTTCTGAAAAAAAATCAAATTCTTGCATAGATAAATAATTACGTTACGTTAAAATACCAGGGTGTGTTAATTAGATCAGGGAACGACGATTATCCCAAAGGAAATTAAATTTAGACACCACACAGATTTAGTTGTGACCTCTTGAAACCAAAGTGACACAAAACACCTGGTTGAAGTGATGTAGAGAGGGCTGTCCAAATGTATGATTCCTCAAAACAAGAATGCACCAATTTAAAATGGCACACAAGTGCCAGAGATGTGCAAAGCAAAAAAAAACACCATATTGTGCAAAAACATTGGTAAATGAATTTTCAATCCACATGCAGTCATATTATAAAAGCATTTTTTTGAAATCCCAAAATATATTTTGAAAATTCTCAACAGAGGTGGTCAGGAAGCTCACGAGTTCAAAGCACTGAAATCCTGGGTACAAACTGTGGGTTTGGACCACCACTGAAATCCTGGGTACAAACTGTGGGTTTGGACCACCACTGAAATCCTGGGTACAAACTGTGGGTTTCGACCACCACTGAAATCCTGGGTACAAACTGTGGGTTTCGACCACCGCTGATGGAGGTGGGATCTCAAAGTGTAGCGGGGGAGCTCACGATGGGTCTCAGCCTGGTCAAAAACTGCAAAGAAAATCGCCACGTACAAATTTGGTTCCGCGAGTATTATGCTGGGACCCTCGCATGGCGGATAAAAGGTCAATTGAATAATTTTCCGGAGCAAGTTCTGCGAGATATCCGTTTAACAGACAGTCCTCCAACATGGGGTGATACGCTGCCCAGCATCATGTCACGGCAGAGAGTTCAGAACAAATTCATCATCCTGACAGTTTGCCGAAAAAGCACAGCTGGGATAAAATTTATAATTTCCTCAACACCTAAAGAGTTTGTGGATGGATCAGTGACTTGCAGTAAAGGAAAGTGGAAGTAAACATACCTTTTATAAAATTATAATTTGAAAGATTTCATGCAAACACAAACTAGTAATGCAAGCAACTAACAGCCAACCCGAATACAGCACCCAAGTTGTTTATTGACAGTATTATAACGAAGAATTTAAGGTTTCGTGACTGCATAAAATTACTCATTGGTTTTTTCGGTAAAGTCACGTATGTAAAAATACAATAAAATTATATTAAAACTAAACAATCACGACGTTTCGATCACAACAGGATGTGCTTATTTCAGCTGCCGCACCCTCTCTCTCCGGCCCCCTCCCCCCAACTCGATTTCCTATTTAAGGCTTCGGTTCATCCCTCCGGCCCCCTCTCTCTCGCTCACCTTGCTTCTCTGTCCGTCTTTCCTCCCTCCTTGCCTCTTGGTGGGCCTGTATATGTATTTCTGCTGACTTTGTACCTCGTATTTGTTCACTCTATGCTGGTATGTGCAATCCAGAGGTTGAACACGAAATTTAACACTCTTCTGAAATTCGTGGTCTGCCAGGAAGTGTCTAACCGTGTTGTTGGCCTGACTGGTTGTGCTTCACATGTTTCTTAGGTTTGTTGAATTCTCGTCTCTCATCTTCTTGTTGTATTTACCTCCATGATTTGTTCTTGACACCTGATGAAGATCGCTTGTGTTGTGATCGAAACGTCGTGATTGTTTTTTTAAATATAATTTTATTGTATTTCTACATACGTGACTTTACCGAAAAAAACAATGAGTATTATAACAATTTCATTATGGTCAAAATAACAGTCGTTTAATGGTAATGTTATTATTCAGCATTAAACAGCTACATTTATTGTAAGTATTATTTATTATATTAGATTACAGTCATTTAAAGATATTCAATATACGGTTGACATATTTGAACTTACACCAGGTCTCCCTTCACCTAACATATTTGCATCATAATGGGCTCCCACCTATTGGTTGTAAATAAAGGTTGATTGATCAACATCTGTTAGATTAAAATTGCGGGCCATCCATCACTATCAGCTTTACAACTACATTTTAGGGCTCATCACCACTTAGACTGCATATAAGTAAACGTTCACAGAGATGGATGGGGGTACCTGGCGGTATAGGGAGTAGGGTTGGCTTTGTACGGTGCCGGAGTAGACCCGTTCACGGAAGGCTGGGTTGTAGCTACGGACGCTGGCACCGACTGGAACGGCTTCTGCACGGGAAAACTGGGCTTGGTTGCCAGCTGGGGGGGATCCGGCTTGGCTTGGATGGTAGGAACGTTCTCCCGAGACACTGAGCAAGTCGGGCAGGAGCAGATGTGAGCACACTTCCCCGTCAGTCTTATTTACTTCACAAGCCTTGTCACATGGTGGCAGACAAGCCTACATGTTTGTGCATGAACACGAGGTGCACAGATATACGTGTGCACAAACTAGTGTCTATGCAGGTTTGTAACATTTACTTTTTTTACCATGAACATGTTTACGTATTATTTGTATTGTTAGACACATTTTGAATTATTAATTAAACTTATATATATGTAATGCTATCTACAATAAATATATGTTATCATTCTTGCCAATGTAATGTAGCATCTTAAAAAAACATTTTTACAACAGTCTCATTATAAACACGCTCCAAAGTGCAATTTATGAACATTGCATTCTCTTGACAATCACTGCCCTTTCAGATTAACAATGAATTTGCTAGCTCCAGCAAGCACACCACGTGCACATTTCAGAGTCATCAACTTATGAAAACCATAGGACATGTTTTGTTAATTACCTGCATAAATTCCTTGCCGAGGCTTGAAATCAAACCAAAGACCCGAAGCAAAATACTCATTTGGCGAGCATGTTACGCCTATGGCCATACTTAATCTGCTCCAATTTGTTTCCCATTTAACAGCTCAATTAAGTTCAAGTGTCAGGTGTTCACTTGCAGCTTTGCGCTTACAGGGCAGGAGTGGGCAGGCATTGTGCTTACCAGAACTCTGGTAGGTGTCGGTGCCACCAATAGAAGCTGGTTTCTGTGTGATGGCTGGTTTGGGATAAATGGGAGGGGCATAGCCGACGGCCTTGTGGGCAGGCGAAGCCCCAGCCGGTGGATCGAGGGGCTTGTCTGCCACCTTGGGCTTGGTATCCAGGGATTCCAACTCTCCTGCCTTGACCCTACACACATACACACGCATGCGCTTTTAACGATGCAATGGCTCCAATCGAAACTTTAGTCGTCGATTATGGGGCATACGCAGAGAGAGAAGGAAGGCTGAAGCCTCGTCATCCATGAGCGGTGAAAAATGTAAAAGAAAACGTGTGCAGCTAAGCAATGAATAAATTATGAAAGCATTAATAAAATCTGTTCGGCTCTTGCATTATTTCACGTAACAGCTTTGTGTGTTTAGTTTGTTGTCCTTCCCCCGCACCTCCGATTAGCATGGTTGGCTACGTACGATGCGAAAGAAGTTCGACAAACATACAAACACGTACTGCACACCCCACGAAAATTGCACAGTTAGAAACTAACATTTTTTGTCATAAAAAAAAATGTTGTTATTTAATAACTCAGGTTGATAGTATATTATTCAATTAATTTACGTTAAATAGTTGATTTGGTCATTGTGTGGATTAGTACTAAATGGCACAATCAAATTAAAATGGAAAATGGATGCTGTTGCTTCAGCGATGTTCGAGACAAATACATCAGCGATCTAATATATACGAAAGCGGATGGAGTAGTTTCCTGTCAGTTCTTACCGATAGATGCCTCTCCTGTCAGTGGCACTTACATTGTAAAAGCTGAGACAGCATGAAAGGGAAACATTCAAGAGGCGGTATCAGGTTAAAGTAGTGAGGGGGGGAAAAATGGCCTCACAACTTGACAGATGCCTTACCAAGTGTAAGAGTATTTTACATTAAAATGAAGATTTATATTTGTAAGTGTTCCATAGGTTTCACTGGGTTGTAAACACAATTGGGTGACCAGCCTCTGTGTGTAATTTAATTCATTTATAAACTGAGCAATGACAACACAATTTAATTTGGTCGGATTATCCAAGGCACAATATAAACACACTTATGCAGTTGAAGGTCGCGAGATGCAATGCTGGATATATCTATAATCCCCTCTGGGGTTGATAAAAGTGAATACCATTTTGTGGGAAATCAACAGCAGTCATCCGATGGAGAGTCTATCTCCACCACTGGCTGAGCCACCAAGGAAGATGGTATAATTTCATTAGCACATATGTAATAGAGTACTTTATGCAATTATGTAAATATAAAATCAGTCAACGCAACAACGATGCTAAGTGGAAAATAATGAACAGCATTCATGCAAAGTATACTAACAGGTACATGTTATGGGCACCTTCGACATGGTATTATGTGCCTATTTTGTGACATATGCAAAACGATGAAATGCAGTTAATATTTGAGCAGCTTATGAATTTTATGAGGGGCTCTGGGAAGCACAAACTGGGACAACGCACAATGTGGCACTGTTAGCGAATCCCAAACGCTTCATGCCACAAAGCACAACATAAAATCTCCGCGGCATATTTTATGCACACACGTGCATTTACCTGTGCACAAAACGACTCGTGTATATTTTCACGCGTGAGCACAACCATGCACAGTCACATGCACGTGCATGAAAGTGGAAAGTACAGGAGATGGGGAGGTGGAGGGAGGGGGTTTCACCTGACTCCGGATACAACTCAAAACCTAGAGTCGTTTGTAACGCACGAGAGAATGCTTGTGGATTAATATAGGAAATAAATAGTAACGATCTCTTGTAAAAAATATATATACAAAGTGCGTCTTGTGGTGTATTATTTTTAAGGCAGGATGTTTGTGGTAAGCTGAGAATAAATCAGGCAGGAAATAAGAGATCCCTCTTCTATAACCCTGGTCCCAACACATCTGATATTACTGCTGAAAAACACATGGATGAGAACTGTAAAAAAAAACAGCACTGGCGCGTGTACCTTGGAGCAAAGCTTCGTCTAGCGGAGGGAACCGGCACGCAGCAGGCTAACAGAAAGTATTAACGCAATATGATACATGTCCAGCGTAAATGCATCCTAAGTCTCCGTTATTTCTCTTTAATGTCTGCAAGAATGAAGGAGCACATGCACTATATAAATTCAAAGGTAATTCAAGCTGCATGTTTTATTCCACGTTTTAGGGGGATATATTTCCAGCGTTTCCATAATAAACTGTGAAAAGTATTTCGTGCTCTTCCTGCTTTTATGTCTGTTTTCATTTACCAGCACCCTCTAAATTGAGAAAAGCCGGCACATCCCCTTTATTTCATAATTTTCTTTCTTTGACCTTTTAAGAGCTCTAAAGGTTAAGACGTGTAATCTGAAGTCGTGGCGTGCTGCTCTGTGGCCCTTTGACATGCATTATTGCCTTCCTGGGACTAAAAGCGAAAGGCGACAATGGCCCCAACAGATGGCCCTCCCTCTAGGCAGTCACAACTGACCTTTTGAACTGCAATCAGTGGGAGGGCGGCCAAAAGCCAGGCAACTAAAAAAAATGAATAGCTATCGGGTACACAATTCTTTGTGCAGTCTTCATCCAAGAGGGTAATAAAACTGACTGCTGAGAATAAGTATAGCTTTTGTGCAAAGCCAATAATGATCCTTCTATGAATGCATATAAAAAAATGCCAAATTTGTTTTTTATTTATATGCTCTAAATGTATAATTATGTGTAATTTCACATGTAATTAAATCTTACAAACTGCCACGAAAAAGGACAGGGGATTAAACAACCTGCCCTTTTCAACACTAACAGCATATTATGCATAATTCACTTTTGTTTAAATATTATGGATAGCTAGCAGTGGAACAGCAAACTGCAATTTGAAGCTGGTAGAGTAAAAATACAGTGCAATTGAACAATATAAAAATTATATATTAAGACAAAGAGAATAAACGCCATCACCACAATCATAATCGACACTGATTTATAAAAATATATATATAATTGGCCAATCCCAATGACAATCGCTCTTCTTCAGAGCAGTGAGGACAGTCACAACAACTGTCTCGCTTATACGAGGATATAACATTTTGGAAACCAATGCCTTAATATCACGAGGAAATATTGAGTGTTGAACTTTGAAACAAATGGTTATCTAATTGGATACTTTCATCATCATCCATCATTGTAAGCCATGATCAATCAACTGCTAGATAAAGGCCTCCCCAAGTTGCCACCATCCTTCATGATCCTGTGATGTAAGAATCTATCCAGAACCTGTACCCAAGCCCATCTCATTGCTCCATCTCCACGGTAGAAGTCCTCTTAGGCACTCCCTCCTTTGGCTGCTAGAGTTGTTATTTTCATCTAATGACAATTATCCCTTCTCATGAGTCCTGTCCAAGCCCAATTACTTTTTAAATCCTCAATATCACGTCTCTAACCTGCATGTTCTCCAATCCAAATGTCTCTATGTCGTTCTCTCAGCGAAACCCCAAGCATGCATCCCTCCATGCTTCTTCCTGCATTTTTAGCTTTTGTTCCAACCTCTTCATCAGTACCCGTGTTTATTATCTGTATATCACAGCAGGTAATTGGCACTAATGAAAAACTCCCTCTTCAGATACTTTGGTATGTTGGTGTTCATCATTAAGTCCAGCTTTTCAAAAGCGCTCCAACGCATTCTCAAAATGTAAAATAAAAAAAATAAACAAATGTATTTTAATTGACGAAGGCAGTAAAGCCAAAACCTGAAAACCTGCATGAGCGGAAGTCAAAAGGCAACACCTTACATTGACATAACAGGTCAATATTCAGCTATCGGCTTTAGGTAAAATTATAAAATGCCTTCCGTGGGCCTCGTACCTGTTGTGTGCAGCGAATGCCGATTGGGCGGGTGGCTCTGAGGGCTTGGGTGCAGGTGGATCCTGGCGGCTGAACAGGCCGAGCTGCGTGCGGTACCCAGCCGCCTCGTCCTCATCCTCATCCTGTGAGTTGGAGTAGCGATTCACGGGACGTAAATCATCTGCAGGTTTCACCTGCAACCTTGGCGCTTCGCCCGTTCTGAAACAAAAATCAGCAACCGTGAATTAAAATCGGAGCAAGCAATGATTGAAACGTTATTAACAAACGACGGTCGCACTGGAGCTCATCCTGGGGGCGATACGGCCAGGTGGCATTGTGGCAGATGGCTCGACTCGCAACATCAAGTTTGCAAGTTCAAATCCCGGTTCGCGGTTAATCCCGATACAAGTGGTTATTTCACCGGAGCTGATAAAAGGAGTAGAAATAACATTTTACCTATCCCCCACTATGTATTTTAATCGTTTTGATTCCAAGTCTCAATTTGATTCAGGAAACAAATAATGTTGGTCCCGTTTCTATCGTTTCCTGATGTTTTGTCGTTGTCTTGTACTGTTGCGTTCGATCATTAGGCTACGTGTATAATTTGCATATTTCTCAAATAATATGCACAATTAAATACATTTGAAATACAGTAAAACCTTGGATTGCGAGCATAATTCGTTCCGGAAACGTGTTTGTAATCCAAAGCACTCGTATATCAAAGCACTCGTATATATCAGTTGTGATCACGTTACACTCGGCAGACAAAGTGTATACGTACTACTCGTATTTGATAAACAAGACCTCGCTCGTTTATCAAATTAATAATTATTTAAAAAATTTGCTCGTCTTGCAAAACACTCGCAGACCAAGTTACTCGCAATGCAAGGTTTTACTGTGCATGTCGTGTACGTAAAAATACATTGAATACGCAAGTCAATGCATGTCTAAAATCCGCACCACTTTTTGGCGAGGGGTAATTTCCATGGAGATACTCGTCCCTGCCATGTGAATGTGTAATTTTCACTCCAAGCTGCCAATGGAGGCCGTGCACCTCTCACGAATCAATGTGCATTTTGACGTGGACACAATGTAGGTAATGGCAGTGAGGACATCTTATTTTTTTTTCCACAAGAGGTCCCCATTGCACCAACGGTACACCGGGACAAAATGGACGCTTCCGAGATGCACAGAGCCGGGGGCTCAACGACGACGGTACCGTTTGGTGACGCAGCCTTTGTGACCAAAGCAGTGAATGGCATGTCGGATATGAATATGTTATATTTACTCCTCATACTCAACTCACAAAAAATTACCATCGGTTGTATTTTAAAATGTTTCAACTGAAATGCCAATGCTAAAGTAAATGTCATTCCACTGCGATTAGAATCGACAAGAGGGCTGCACGTTATTTCGCAGCTACGAAGCACTGGTACCTGTAAGTCTGCGTGGACTGTTGAGCGGCATGCGTCAGTGGTGGCACATGCTGAGCCAACTGAATATCCGCCTACAACAGAAAGAAGGCACCATCTGCTGACCGTGCAGGGTAACTACACCAACCGCGAACATCCCTCGTGCGAACTGCACGCGCTGCAAATCGCAAGCTGCAGCGCGCGTCTTGGTTATGAACGATAGCAGTTGCGCACAATTAGATCCAATGAGTTTGGGTTGATACGCAACGAGTCTAAGCTCAAGAACCCTACAAGCTGAATACAATGTAGTTGATAAAAAAACGTCCCGTAGATAGATATAACCGCTTAACCCAAGCTATTAATGCTTAGCTTTTGCATTGTACTTGTACTGTTCGCCTTTTGGCAGCCTTTGGTCTAACACTGGTTGACACAAAGCCATAAACAATGGCTGTCTCTGGTGCAGGCAAATCAGTTTTAAGGACAATACATACATTATCAAAGCATATGGTTACATGTTTTACCACAAGTTTGTGTGGTTTATACACAGTTGATGCCTTGTAATTGATGTCTATCTGGTGTTTGAACATCTTAAGACCTCCTATAGTTATGCCAGAAAGGTTAAAGCCCTTTTTAACCATCTTGATAATGGCAAAAGGGTCCCCATATATATGAATGCATTATGGTTGTTATAAATTGGATGCGAGTCTATGAAGGAAAAAAATCATTGTCTCACTCCCTTGATAACACATCTAACGTTACAAATCCGAGATTACCAATAATAAATTGAAAAACGGATGTTATTGTTAATTCGTTGACATTTTGAACTCTGTCAAAACCATAAATTATTGAAATGTACACAGACAATCAAACTGACCATCAGCAAATATTAATACAGTGAACAGTTATATCGGGTTGGCAGAACGTTTAATTTCACATGCCAAAGTGCATGTTTTATTGATATTCTAAGCGACTCCCCACGAAAATACTACTCTCCTCAAATATGTACTATGAGCACCCAATGAACTATACACAATTGTGTCAGTTCTTCTTCACACCACATTTTTTTATTGCTACCGCTGACACAGATGCAAAGACATAAAATGCAAAGCACCCACTAACGGAGCACAAACGGCAGTAAATCAGATGACTGAGAAAAAAAAATCTTAAATTGAACAATACTAAGCACTACGGAATGGAACGTTGGTACAGTGATTAGTGCACTGCTCTATGAACCAGCAAACATTATAATTTTCAGCCATGGCTAACATCAGCCACCAATTAAATGTGAGTTGGTCATGGCCACCCCTCTTCACCAACCCACAGTGACGAGTGTGATGGAATATGGTGAGACAACCCACATGACCGACAATACAGGGGGAGGCCTTCATCTAGTAGTGGATTGATAAACGGCCGTATGTTTCTTTTAATTAGATAATGGAAAAAGACAACGGGAGAGTTCAAATGTGGTCGTGTAATTTGCCAACACACGTGCACACACACACACACACACCTTGGGCTGCTGTTTCTCAAACATCTTCACTCTGCCAAGAACAGACTTGGGGATGACTGGCTCCGAGTCGCTGTCCTCTCGAGGAGGGTTTGTAGCTGGGGCTGGTGGTGGGAGCTTGATGGTAGCCTGGCGTGGGGGTTCCGTGGCACTGGGTGGCGCAGGTGCGGCAGAAAACTGTGAACGGCTGGGCTGAGCTTCGTGGATTCGGACATCACCATCGTCGAAGCTGTGGGGCTGCTGGTAGTTTCTTTGCAGGCTGCCATACTGGCGTTGAGCATTGTCATTGGCTCTTTGACTTGCGCTGTCGTAGGAACTCGGCTGAGCATCATATGGCCTCTGCGGTGCATTATTAGACCGTGGGATGCTATCATATGACCTTGGCTGTTCATCATAGGCTCTCAGCGATCCCTCGTCAAAGCTTCGGGAATGCGGGTGCTGCTCATAAGCACTTGGCGGTTGGCGGCTGTCATAACTGTGAGGCTGCCTGCCGTCATGCTGCACAGGTGACCGAGGCTCTGGGATCTGCACTCGTCTGGTTTCGTATTGCTGCGGAGGTCTAGCCTCATACTGCTGCGGCTGGCGGACTTCGTACTGCTGCGGCGGAGGTGGTTGCCTGTGATCCTGGACCTGCGAAGGTCTCGCCTCGTATTGCTGGGATGGCAGTCTCTGCTCCTGAACCTGCGGAGGTCTGGCATCATATTGCTGCGGTGGTGGTCTCTGCTCTTGAAGCTGTGGAGGTCTAACATCATGTTGCTGCGGTGGAGGTCTGTGCTCCTGAACCTGCGGAGGTCTGGCATCATATTGCTGCGGTGGAGGTCTGTGCTCCTGAACCTGCGGAGGTCGAGCCTCATATTGCTGTGGCGGTCTGTGCTCCTGGAACTGGGGCTGCCTTGTCTCGTACGATTGAGGTGGTCTGGCTTCATATTGCTGTGACTGTCTTCCTTCATACTGCTGCGGCTGCTGCTGCTGCTGCCTCGGGTCAAACTCCTGTCCTCGGTGGTCTTGGTAGGGGGAGGAGATCCTGTAGTCGTGGTCATCTGCCTGCCTCTCTGTTTGGTGGTGAACGTGCACAGCCGGTTGGGACTGGTAAGAGTACTCGTGGCTGGATTGGGAGCTGTGGGCGTAGTTTTCTGGCGGTGCATCATAACTGGTCCTCTGTTGTTGCTGCTGCTGATATATATGTTCGTCATAGCCTCTAACTTCCTGGCTCTGACGAGCAGGCTCGGTGCTGTAATTGACTGGTCTTCGCTCCTGAAATCAGAGTTTGAAACCAGAGTTGAATAATGAAAATTAAATTGATACAAAAAAATTTGATTGCAAAAAATTATTTTAAACAAGTGCGGGGGAGCTGTTCATCTCTTTGGGCAGTACGAAGCCAGCTAATTATGTAACATTCTCATGACAAGGACCAGACTATTCATAGAACTATTGTTCACATCCTACACCGTGGTACCCATTTTATTGACCGATGGGATGATGTGTTTGACGTAACCTCCATTCAGGGACTTTAATTAAAAATTTTGCAACTGTTGCACAAACACAAATATATATGGTTCCCCAAACGGTAAATATATTATATGGAAAATTAATTCTATCAATTCAAAAATGCTTAATCCGTCACCATGCATAAAAAATGAATGCTCCAAGTGCAGTGTAGCCACACCGTTATTACCAGAGGAATGTAAGGTTTGAAAATATCCCCGTTTGAAATAAGTAAAGGAGACATGCTGAGAAATAGAAGCATTAGAGCACAAATAATAACCTGCATCACCACATTATTCAAAACATGCACACATAACAAGTGGACCTGTCATAGCCGTGTCACTTTAAGGGAAGAGAAGTGTTGGACAAAACGTATCATGTCATGACAGCACAGACGCTTGCAGAATGTACAAGGATAGACTTGTGAAATTAAATCACACCAGCAGTGGAAGCGACACCAATGGGGGCCAAACGAACATGACATCAGCAGGCAGTGCTGGGATTGGAGTATACCATTAACCATTGGAATATTGCGCCTTCATTCCCTAGTTTGGGGCCTACTCAATGAGTATCCCTTGAAAATCAGCTGTAGTCACCGTTTGTAAAGTTAAGCTCCTGTCAAAGGAATGTGAAATCTCCACCACCGAGTCAGGTCTGCCATTCGGGATGAGTGCTCTCCGTTTGCATTTTTGAGAAAGAGGCAAAGTTAGACTGACTTGAATTTAAAAACTAGATTTTGTAACAACCATCAGAATTTAATCACATGTGATCATTATCGGGAGGTATAATGATTGAGCAAATTATTATTATTTGCTTGCTTCAAGAAATACTGCTGAATATTGATCTGGAAAGAAATGGTGAGGAACTTGGAATAATGATACATGTATGTGGAGACACAGAACAAAGTTCTGCTTACATACTGTCTGTATCTAGGACTTTAATAAGAAATGTATTTGTATTCCGGAGACTGTAAACTCATCTCGGATTATCACAATGGCAACAGTAGGGTGCAGCCTGCATACCGGTGACGGCTCGGCAAGCATTTCTCGGCTCGTGGTGCGGGGAAGGCGTGGTTTAGGAGCCGCGGGCTCCGGGCTTGGTCTCCTCACGGACTCGGGGCTGTTTCTGTGCACGGCCTGGGGCTCAGGCTGGGCACGAGGGAGCGGCACCGGCTCCTCGGGCTGCCGGGCTGCCGGACGCTGTCCCTGCGTCGCCCTGCTCAGGAAGGTGGCGGCGCTCAGCGGCTGTCGGGGATCCAGCTGTGTGTCGGGCACCGAGCGAACCAGATTTTAACAATCGGTTCAGCTGACGAAACAAGCGTCTTTCAAAGTAGTATTAATAATAATAATAAAAACACCTCATTTTATTTCACTTGTAGTGCTGGACGAGTGAAACTACAACCTGTGGAAGTTAAGTAAAGTCTTAGCCTCGGATTCATTAAGTGGTTATATTAGTCTAGGCGAGTATCTCGGTTAAATATTTCATTCACAATTAGTCGTTAAATTTTAGTGCGAGTGGTGGACAATTCACCTTCACCCATATGTTATGGCCGACCTGATAATTATCAGGTCGGCCATGAGTGAACTCGGTAAATCTTATATGTGCATTTAGTCAATAAGCATCTTTGGTCTAAAACAGGGGTGGGGAACCTTTTTTCTTGCCAAGGGCCATTTTTATATTTATAACATCATTCGTGGGCCATATAAAACTAAATTTATGTTGCTATGAAAAAAGCGCCTAGATTTATTGAATTTCGAGTCATGCGGTTGCCTTGGCAGGGCCAGACCAAATAATTTCGCAGGCCTTATACGGCCCACGGGCCGGACGTTCCCCACCCCTGGTCTAAAACAATGCATTGCAGTCCCTAACAATTTTACTAATTATCTTAATCTCTATCTTAATTTAGATTAGGATTTTTTTCATAATCTTCATAAGTTGATCTTTGATGGGTAGTCACATTCATAATCATGTTCAAAAACTCCACTCAGCCATTGGTGATAAGAGAAATTACATTGTTGCTGAATAATTTCTACACTAATTCCCATCAACAAAATGAACACTGCTATTAAGCAGCCAGGATACAAGCATAAGTAGGAGTGGCCACTTTCCCAGGTCGAACAAAGCAAATTGCTTCTACCAACCGCAGTTCTCAGCATGCCTGCGCTACATAACCTCCCAGTTAAACAAACTGATAAACAACGTCTTCCATGCATGTCGAAAACGTTATTCAATTCTTGCATTTGTGAAAAGGTTTTTTTAGCTAAAGAAAACCGAATCAAATTATTCTACTTTAGAAGTTCAATTCAAAATATATTACAACATCTAACAGAAACACGGCCGCTGGAATGTAGCCTGGCAAGCCTGCTCCCATACCTCCTGGGGAGAGGCTCTTTTGGTTGCCGCATGCTCCCGGTCAGACTGCACAGGCTGAAGCTGCTGCGAGTGGTACCCCTGGACAACCTACAGGCGTAAACAAAGACAGATCTCCGTTTCGCTGCTCATAGAGCACATTGATTTATCTGGAGTTGAAGGAAACAATGATTATCAATAGGCCTTTTTAGATCCTTGTTTTTCACACAGCGGCCAAGTTTACTTTAAAAGAACCCTTTGAAAGGCCACGATAAAAAAATATAAATGTTCTTTACAAAATCGTCAGTCTTTTAAGAGGCTGCCAAAATTGCATTCCAAGACTAAACCTTTAAAACAGTGGCCAATTTTTTTTCGAATGCATGATATCAAGCAAGAGTTCGAAACATGCCCCCGCCAACTCCCACATTGGCAAATTAGTTAATATCCAAAAACACTTTCCAGAGACCAATATAATTAATGCATTAAATTATACATTCACCATTCTAATAGCTGTGTTTTCAGGCTGTACCACGTGTTATTGGACAAGATCTGCAACATCTCAATCCATGTGCGTGCTGGGAGCCCAACAACAGATGGTACAACCAGAAAACATATGAGAGCGATTTACAGGACAACCACAAAAACCTTCCCACAAACCCACAACCTATATAACGTTTGCGAATCATTTTTTTTATAAACCCTTAATAGTGACCCAGGCAGTGATATTTATCCTTTTTTTTCAAATGCACTCATAAAAAACTATAATAGCACTAAGGAGTGATCGAACCCAACAATCTCTATTATGGATAACAATGGTCGTGAAAGCCGACGTGTTAAACAGCACTAAGAGGTACGCAAATTTAATGTTGCTTTCCGTTTTATCACCAAATTTGCATTCGTTATTAAAAGTTTATATCGTTACACTGAAAGCAGGAAATTTACATGGATTAATGAGAAACATTTATGAAACTGGTTTGGCAAATGTACGCAGTTCTGCTCTTTCCCACAGCATCGGGAGACCCTCGCATTGGAAAGTTTGAAAAGAGCAGCATTAAAAATGTAATGCTCCACATCATATTTTCACGATAACAGATGGAGGTTTTAATAGTAAACTTTAACATACAGGATAACTGACTAGACTTCTAGACTGCCTATTCACCAATGGGTTTAAGAGTTACTTCTGCCAGATTTTTATTGGTCCGCCGGGCGGATGAAGTGGAGTAAATCCATATCTGGGGTCTGGACGTGCAGTAGTAACTCATGGTACTGATTTTATGACAGATTAGCCAATGCCTGAGGCGTGACAGTTTTGTGTGCACTCGTACATCTCTGACATGACATCGGGCGCACACCCTGATACAAGTACACGTTTTCCACTTTTCTGTCAATCTGCGCGGGGTTCTGATGTCTCACGGAAGAACCATCTTTGTTGGCATCATTCTTGACAGACACATCCCTTTAGGGCAAAAAACTGCTCCAGAAACAATAGGACACACGACGGACTAATGCTATAAATAACACGCTGGAGGAATTATCATTGTGCGTGCTTGGCGAGAGATGTGCAGGTCACCTTGACAGATTCCTGGAACTTAATTTAAAATTTGTCGTACTTATTTATATAGTTCCACATAGTGGGTATTTTTTACATTGACCTAAAATGTGTTTCACGAAACTTTCACCATCAATAACTGCACTGCGCATGTAATTACTGGTATTCATACTTACACCATACGCTGCCTAGATGCGAAGTTAGTTTTATTTTATTTTTCCCAAAAGTGGGTGTTAATTATATTCTGCACAGATCCAACTTCATAATTAAACCGGTGCACGAACAAACATTTCACGTTGTGTTTTTTTTGCTAATACGATTTAAAATCGGTTCGGTGATAACAGCTTAGTCAATGCCTGAGGAGTGACAGCAAAAAGCAATTTTAATACTGCTTTTTTTGTTTGCTGCCCTTCCCCCGCACCTCCGATTACCAAGGTTGGCTGCGTACCGTGCAAAAGAAGTTCAACATACATACATTACATACACAACAGACAGTCAACAGTAATTTTACAACAGGAGCAAGGGACATGGAAAAAGTGATTATACCGGTGCCTGCTGCTCGTGGTGGAACCCAAACGGGGCCTCGTCCCGGACGGGCTCAGACGAGCGGCTCACGGCAGACGGCATGCCCGCGACGGGCATGCCCAACACCGGCTCTGTGTCCGTCTCGTTCATGGTCTCATCGAGTTCCTGGTCGGTGTAGATGCCACCCTCCGTGTCGGTGTCCTCACAGTCGCTGGTGACGCGGCTGTCGCTGTAGAGCGACAGCTCACTGAGCGGCGCCGACAGGTGCGAGATGCGGTCGTCCTGCATGTCCAGGTCGTCCGTGTCGCCGTCCGCCTGTCCGGGGAGGAAACGTCAACGTTAATGCCGAGTGAGGCCATCGTCACGATCGTCATAAATTAATCAGCTGCATCACAGTCCTTTTATATAATCATGAACTTTCAGTATTGTCTTCAACATAACCGTCATCATTACCACGCTCATCGTCGTCGTCGCCAACACTGTCAAGAGTCATCCCTATCCTCAATATTATCAATACATTCTTAAGAACACAAGTGAATGCAGACTCAACATAGTTGTGAATATAATACCAAATAATGCACCCAAAAGCACTCCGTTAAGTCACTGAGTGAAATAGAATACAATACTAAACCAAACGAATCAGCACCATGGCCCAAGCAATGACTTCATAAAATTATACTTTTTTTCTTGTTATTAAAAAGTACTTTGGCCGAATAGATTGCACTTGTTAATTGTGCCTTGGGGTGGAGCCATGGTTCGTACACTACACTACGACCTCAGTGACCCGAGTTAAATTCTAAGCCACGGCTAACATCAGTGGTAAGAGATGTGTGATCTGTACTCCCCCTTCATCAACTGACCAGTGTGGTGAGGTATGGACAAAATCGCCATAACCAACATGGAGTGGGGAGTGCTACATCGAGCAGTGGAATAAGAGAGGGTTGTAATCCGATTACTTATTATTAATCTGTTTTGATTTCCAGATAACCTCATACTGTGTAAATATTTTAGATTCTGACCACAATTCATAGGATATTACACTACCAAACTGTACAAAATCAAGAGCCAGTGATTGAGAGAAGTATTATTATAACCTGAAAAACATTTGCTTTAAACTAGTGTGCATTTTACCCGATTACTTGACAAAACCTGTCCTATGTGTGGCGATTAGGAAGTGAGCATAACATGTTATGTTAAGTAAACGGAAATGTAATGTTCCACAAATGTAAACTATCTTGGGCTAAACACGTATGAGAGAGCTTCATGGCTCATCGGATTCTTCCATAAATGTGTCTGATTTTATGGACCTCACACTCCTTGGAAATTGATCATGTTGACGAGGTACTGGGAACCAAGGGACAAGTGGCGGCGTGCGTCTTACCCTGCCCTCAGAGACCCACACCAGCTGGTTTTGCTGTTCTGCAACGGAGTCCTTCAGAGCCCCATACCACCCCTCATTCATGGAGTTTAAGTTGATCACAGCTGAAATAATAGAGGAGGAATTAAAGAAATGCATGGTAATAACAGTGCTCAGTACTACTCGATATGTTCATTCTCTTGCTTGTATCATGAAACAGCCATGGAAAAAGCAGGGTTTGTTAAACTGCAGAAATAAAATATTTCCTCAATCATATAATATTTCTTCTGGAACAATGCACAGAAGCATCTGTTTAAAAACCCATGGACTGATTTCACAGAGCCATCGGCATGGTGTGGCCAGTTTGCATTATCAAATATCTTACAGCTTAACAGTAATGTATATTCACCACAATCCATGGAGGCAAGGATAACGTATTCCTTTTACAAGTATGTGTATGGGTGCACGCACAATGCTTCAATATCCAGTCATGGTTACAAGTGGCAAGTTGTATTTCTACTTGTTCAAAATTCTCCCTGCCATAAATGAATGACTGGTGCATTGATGCAAAAACAACAGCACTGAGCAGGCAAAGGTAAGCCAGGCATGGCGCTGGCCGCACAATCGACAGTGGCGACTTTAATAAAATGTAAAGATGCGGGCCAAGTTGCTTGCAGACACCACTGTTGGTAGAAAGTCCTCGACAGCTCCAGAGGGTACTTTAGCCGACTCTTCCACACTGGCTAGACATCTTGGAAGAGTAGGGAGTATCCATACTTTACCCCACCTAGTTGGTAATAGTAGGGAGTATCCATACTTTACCCCACCTAGTTAGAAGAGTAGGGAATATCCATACTTTACCCCACCTAGTTGGTAAGAGTAGGGAGTATCCATACTTTACCCCACATAGTTAGAAGAGTAGGGAATATCCATACTTTACCCCACCTAGTTGGTAAGAGTAGGGAGTATCCATACTTTACCCCACATAGTTAGAAGAGTAGGGAGTATCCATACTTTACCCCACCTAGTTGGTAAGAGTAGGGAGTATCCATACTTTACCCCACCTAGTTGGTAAGAGTAGGGAGTATCCATACTTTACCCCACCTAGTTAGAAGAGTAGGGAGTATCCATACTTTACCCCACCTAGTTAGTAAGAGTAGGGAATATCCATACTTTACTCCACCTAGTTGGTAAGAGTAGGGAGTATCCATACTTTACCCCACCTAGTTAGAAGAGTAGGGAGTATCCATACTTTACCCCACCTAGTTGGTAAGAGTAGGGAGTATCCATACTTTACCCCACCTAGTTAGAAGAGTAGGGAATATCCATACTTTACCCCACCTAGTCCACTGGCCCAGAGAAAAAACGGGTAACACCCAAGGTAGTTGGAGCAATTTATTTATCTGGCTAATAATAATAATGAATTATTGGATAACCCACTCATTTATACTGGTTGTCACGTAATGTACTGATATTGGCCATTTCGAAATTTGAGCCACTCAAGTTATGCTACCTCAGGTGGTACCGACAAGTGAAATATCTGCTCTGGGCTCATGAACTAACCACACGTGACTTTACCGAATAAAACCAAAGAGTATGAATCCTTGCAGTCACGAAAGCTTCAAATCTAGAATTAACCACACATGACCTGCCAATCAACCAACTGTGATGTATCCACTTGTAACGCTGGCTGGGCGGACAAACGCGGATAGAAAAAAACACTTTCCGATTGTTGCAACTGCCACGCTAGCTGGCTAACCATTAAACCATGACAGCATTCTAGCCAGTCTTAATAGCTGCCCAACAAACATAATTATTGGTGTGGCGGGGGGGGGAAGCTTGTGGAATCTGTGTCTTTGGCCATTAAGTGTGTGCGCGCGGAAAGTCCACTCCACACGTGCACGTGACGACAAGGTGGCGTACACGTGAAGAGGTGCCAGTTGCTCTTGCGCAGCTTGGCGGCACGCTCGTGGAGCTTGCGCGCACTCTTGCGCGACTCGGGGCACAGGCGCGTGCGCATGGTCTTCACGCCGCTCTTGCTGTCCGGGTTGAGGAACAGCACAATAGGATACCACTGCGCGTAGTTGAGGCGGTCCACCGCACCCGGCGTGATGTCCAGCAGCGCGTGCTTATCCTGAAAACAGCACCGCGTACGTAAAGCGTACGAAATTAATATCCAATCCACAGCAGGCAACGTGGACAAAAGTACCCCCCGCCGTTTAATATGCAAACGAGTGCAACCATTCAATAAGTAATCAGAAAGACATCGCAATCCCTATTACTGCCGGTGCATTGTTAGCTTTCTCGCCCATTTACTCAAAAAGTGTCTGGCGTTTCTATGTGGCCTCATTGGAAAAAAAGCAGGAGTGTTTTGAGACAATTAGTGAGTGTCGTGCTGGATGATGAATCATTGCAGCCAGCACCGCATCTGAAAGGTTCTGTATCCCATGTAATGATTTTACCATCTGCAACTTGTAGGGTAAATGGCCAAGGATTTGCAATTACAGTTTGTAATCTGAGAGTGCATTAAGCACTTTGCTGCCAGTACATTAATAGTTTTATTTATTTCCTCCCCATTTTGCATTGAAGCCTACTCACTTTATCAATGATCTCTTTGATGGTGTGCAGTCGGATCACTCCGGAGTTCTTTGTATCAGTTCCTGCATCCCTTGGTTCATTTCCTGCAAAGCACACATCATTGGACACACGCATAAAACAAAGTCTACATTAATGTGTATATTTTAGTTTTGTTTTATTCATGATATGGCAGGCCTCTGCTGGATGAGGGCACCTCTACACTGTGTCAGTAACGGAGGTTGCTTGATCATACTTCAAAACACCAATCAGTGCAATTTAGTGAAAGGGGGGGGGGGGGGACAAGGTTGGTTTGCACATCACTTGCCACTTATGTTAGCATGGCTGGGAATTGAACTCCGCTCGCTGGGTTCACAGCGCAGTGCAATAACAAGTGCCACTGCTCCACCCTTGTTTTGTGTAAATGCAGCTTTTTTTCCCGGAAGCAATATTTTGGTATAAATATATACACACACACACTTGACAAAATATATGTTTAACATAGCTAGTTGAATATGGATAGACAAACTTCACAAGTTTTACATGAGAAAAAAGAAAACGGTTTTCTTACGTGCAATTTCAAAGCTGTTGGGTTGCTCCCTCGCCAACTTGTCTCTTGCAACGTCGGCAATGGGTCCAAAAATCACCACAGGTCTCAGAAAGCCAGCTGTTAGAAAGACAATCAGAATGCTCGTGTTTACACCAGGATAAATATGATGTAAAGGGTAACAATGGGAAGGCGAGAACAAACAGCTATCGATTTTCTTAAAATGCCAGGATAATACCAACAAGTTTATCTTTGTTCAAACAGTTGGCCGACACCAACAATGACACAAAGAGCAATGGCGAGTCAATAAAGTGACAAACTAAAGGAAACCGTTTGGGAACACGTTTTTGAAGGAATGCTAAAGCATCAATTCTTTCCTGTGTCAATCAACCAGAATGGCCCACCATCCATGTAGTCTCCAAGCTGAGCATCTCCAGTAAATGGGCAATGATGTTCCAAAACTTCGTGCAAGTCATATGCATTCAGGCTTATGCATATCAGTATATGTAAAAAGGAGTCAGGAAAACAAGTTATATATTTGATTTCAAATTTGACAAATTAGCATACAAAAAGACAATGTTACATTTATAGACTTGTCCCACCATTAATGTTGAATTTCCACCACTGACAGACCAGCACCACCCAACACTCATTTGAGCCGAGAGAGACTTTTTCTTGATATGGGGTTGTGGCTTGTTTGTCTTTTATTCATAATGGCGCATCTCACAGAGCAGTGCAAGCCTGTGTTAAAGGATGCCCCCATGGAAGCGGGTATGGCAACTACTTTCAAGGTACCCTTCTGGTGACCACTGGTCCACGGGATAGAAGGTAGCCCCCTTTCCCACCCGGCATGCTTCACACAGGGTAACGTTCATCGCATGACAGATTTTTTATTCTCAAAAGTAGGAATTTAGACAAATTAAGTGCAGAACAAATGCACTTGTTTATTTGCAGTTATTGATAACCAGGCTGAGAACATCCAACTCGCTGCACTTGAGAAAACTGGTTAATCACGTGCTGCTTGCCTGGATTTAAATGCAGGATTTTCAGAGGTGCCAGCACAACGCTCTGACCTCTAAGGCACCCGCCCACCCATCCACCCATCCACCCACCCATCCACCCGGCCACTTCACCCCACCGGGTTATGTTAAGCTGTTAAGGTTGTGCGATTGCAGAGCAGGCCATCACTCACTTACCCTCGCGAAGCACAACCCGCTCGTAGGCAGGGAACTTCGTGGGCACAGGCTGAGCAGACAAATCCTCGCGGCTCTTGCGCAGGTTCTTTTTGGCTGAGCGGAGGCCGCGGAATCGCCAGAAATCGGCTCGGTCGTTGGTCCCAACTTTGGCGAAGTTCTGGACAGTCGCTAACTGTTCCGCCCTGTAAAAGAAGTTTTAACGTTAACAATACATGTATTGATTTATGCAAACATTGGCAATGGCAGTCGAGAATACATGATTTACATGAGATGTTTGCAGTACAGTATAACGATTTACAAACTTCAAAGCAAAAGTAAACATAAAGCCTTAAACTGCCAAGAGCGTGAATATTTTATCTATTAGTGTTTTTATTTTATAAGTTTAATGTGTTTTTACTTTTCGATTATGCAATTAACATTTTTTTATTCATCTCCAAGAGACCAAACTATATATAAAAGTGAAATACGTTGAAAGACAGCAATATATATGAAGTGAACATGACCAAAACAAATAACAAATCGCTCTAATCTAATTTTACTGTGCATTTACCAGAATCATTTTAAAAAACAATTTGTGCACACAAAGCGAAACGGGCAACATTTATCAACCACAATTGCCAATTACAGAATGCCACATTCCACAGATGATTAATGTCCGAGCGAGCAGTGCACTCCAGCATAAACGAGAGGATTGCATTTATTATATTCATGTAAACTGACCAGTGCAGCTAAAACTGAATACATGAAGTAAAAACTGTGAAACCCGCTTGAGGTTACTCCACTCTGGACAGTCCTCTCTAATCACTCAAATGAAGTGACAGGCAGGCGCTGTTTTTATAGCCCATAGTTTCACAGCCTATTTTCACAATTTCTCTGCAGTTAAATTGCACCCAGTTTTTTTAGTACATACATTGCCTCTTTGCCAGCGTGAATTTAAATCTATTACATAACAGGGCATGGTGGCACACTTGTATTCCAGTCTTTTGCGAGGTGGGGTTTGTTCAGCATCTTTGTTCTGTCATGCAAAACGACAATCCATAAATCACCTGCAACAAACTGTCTCCACAGTTCCATATCCACGGTGGATGTCTTAAAACGTCTCCCTACTTTTGCGCTCCCATTCTGTTATTGGTCTCAAACACTGGCCATCATCCCTTTTGGCAAAGCGTTTTGCCCAAGCCCTACTTTTCTTAGCAGTGTATACGTTTCTAACTTGTGCATGTTCTCTAATCCATGTGTTGGAAGATCACACTGAGGCTATTGTGTGCATGAAACACCCACCAGCCTCTATGGTCCTCTGGAAGTCAGTACAAGAACTACATTGTTGATATCCAAGTGGATTCTTAGAGTCTTATCTCTCCTGGTATGCACAGCTATGTTTCCAAACCCTCAAACATGCAAAAAAACCGAAAGGCATTTTAAATAACCTAAGCAAGTATCTCAAGTATCTGATAAACAGCCTTTAGACTCACTTGAGACTTTTTTTCGGTATACACAGTAAAAGGAATTGGTTGGCACACTTTAAATTACTGACGGTGGAGTGATGCAGCAGCATACCACACAGCTTTCAATGTAAAGGTTGCGAGTTCAAATCGCAGTCTAGGGATCACTTGGGTTTTCATCACTCTGAGATGAATCAAAGGAGTACCCCCCCCCCCCTTTGGGGGGGGAAGTCAACAGTAGTTGTCCAATGGAAAGATTTGCTGTTACCATAGGCATGTGAAATGTCCATAATGCTCGCAGTGCTTTAAGAAGGAAACAAAGTGTTCTGTTGGCCCATGCTCAATTGAGCAGGGCACCAATGTGTTTTTTACTTAGATGCCACCATGGTGTAATGGTTAGCACAATGGACTTGCAATCAAGTTGGTCACAAGTTCAGTTAACATCTCTCGGCACCAGTTGAAACTATGGGACAATTTTCTTAAATCCACTCTCCCACCCCACCTGTCTCTGTCCACCCAACAGCATAAATGGGCAACAGTACACACACAGCGAAGCGGTAGGGCTGCATGCGAGTACCGACCCCGACCCTTGCCCAGAGCAGCGCACTACCTGTTCTTGTTGGGGATGATGCCGCGCTCCACCTCTTGGTTGTTGCGGCCGATGCGGATGGCGAGCCACGAGCCCAGCTTGCCGTTGTAGAGCGTGTCGACAACGCGGAACACCTCGCCGCGCAGGAAGCTCAGGCCGTAGGGATTCTCCTTCTCGTAATCAAAGTGCGTGCGGATGTAGAACGAGTCGCCCACGTCCGATTCCACGACCCGGCGGTAGACTGCGACCAAAGAGGGACGGGGGGGGAAAGGGGGAAACACGAAGCGTGGTAGAATATGGAAATGCCACATGAGAACCATGCAACGCAGTGGGCTGCCGGTGTACACAGGCCATTCATTCCCAACAATAAATAAATAAAATCAGGCACAATAAAAAAAAGTCTTCTTGACAATCTTAGAGGACTGCGGGCCAAAAAAAGCCTTCTACTATGCCTTTATTTATTTTTCTGGTACTTTATGTATAGTCAGGCACCAAACCTTGCCGCCTTTCGACGCCTACACCACTAGAATGCAAGGTGAAAGTGCTAATATCATATATTATTAGCCAAGGTGATGCCCTCATTAAACAGAGAAAAATCAATAATAGGGTTTTTCCCCTTTTTTCTCGCAACAAAACTGAAACCTTTTTACAAGGAATCATGTCTGCATTAACCACAATACTTGTGGTCATAATACAAACAAAAAACACTCATAATATATGCATCGTCCTTGAAACTGATTGGTCCACACCAGAGACGGCTTTCTTTGTCTCAATTGGTGCGAGACCAGAGGACGCCAAAAGGCGTACAGCTCAAAGACAATGCACTATGAAAGTAATGAGGGCTCGGGGTAAGCATCTACATCATGAGACCTTCTTGGAGACAAAGAAAGCCGTCTCTGGTGTGGACCAATCAGTTAAGGACAATGCATATATTATCATAGTATGTTTTTTGTTTGCATTTTTACCACAAGTATTGTGGTTAATGCACACATGATTCCTTGTAAAAAGGTTTCAGTTTTGTTGCCAGAAAAGAGGAGAAAAACCCTATTATATTTTAGTACTGGCAAAGGAGATCTAATGATGAAGAGAAAAATCAATTTTTGCATGTCTGCTGTAAATTATGGAGCTGATCAAAGATCATAAAAGAGGAACGAACAATGAAGTATCTGCTCTTCCAGCGTTTTAAGCCCAACCAAAGAGTCGTTAAAATATATTCAGGTCGGATAGGTAATATAACAATCGTGATGGCAGAAGCGATCCATCGAGTGTGACGATTTTTCCCCACTCACCATCTCTCTTCCTCTGGGCATGCACCAGCACCTCCTCCCCCTTGGGCAGCTCCAGGAGGTAAAGTACTGCCTCCTCTCGCACAATGTTTCTAAAGTCCACATTATTCACCTGAAATAATAAACAATTCAAAGGTCAAAGATCACAGCACCGAGGTGGCGTCACAGAGATCCTGACCTATGACCAATTTACTCTGAATGCAACCGATTTTTCAGATGGATAAAGCTAAGCAGGGTTGAGCCCAGATAGCAGGATCGAGTACTTTGATGGGAATACCATGGTACTGTCGGTTTGAGCTGCTAGGTGGCCAAGAAAATGGCAATACAGCAGTGCAGCAATGGATTATTTAAACTATCTGTTGAGCTTTGAGTGTTACCACTTCATATCTGTGGGTATTCCTCAGGTGGCCAGTTTCCTAAAAACATGCCAAACTCTCACTGATGAAAATAGCCAATCATCTCAATGCAGGACCCTCCTGAAAAAATTCCTGAGACTCCATGAGTTTTCTGGGTAAATAAAGTGCATTGTTATTATCTTGAAAACTTTTTTCAAATCTAGCCAACACGTAGACTCAGCCCAGGCATCAATAACAGCACAAACTAAACATCACATTCAATCTGGTCTGTCACTCTACATGGATAATGCCAGCTCAGAGCAGAAAAACACCAGTTTGATTTGACATATCAAAAATGCTTGACAGAAGATAAATAAGTGTCACCTAGTGTTGGTTGAGAGAGACCAATTTAAGTCAGCTTAGAATTAGTTCTATATCATATTACAGGGGCCGTTCCCTCGGAGAGCATGATGGATTACCGCAATAACATGTGAAGGAATGTTCAGTTTAATGTTTTCCCCATATGCACACGTTTTATAGAATTTCAAGGTCACGGTTAATCTTCCCAAGGGGTTTTTTTTTTTTTACAAAAGGAGGGAGAGCGGCGAGCAACTCACGCTGAGGATCTGGTCTCCCTCGTCGAGCCCCTGCTGGGCAGCGGGGCTGCCATCCTGCACGCCCGCCACAAATATCCCGACGTCGTTCCCACCAGCGAGACGCAGCCCCACGCTGTCCCCCTTCTTAAACTGCACCAGCTTCACCTCCGGGCTACACACAACAACAACAACACGACATGCGTCAAAGAACAGAGTCGTCGATCGCACATCTCAACCGGCGAGGATGGCACCTCATCTTCCACTCCTGCTTTGGCCACTCGGGATGCCACTTTCTGCCTAGTTAAATTTTATGTTTTATTTTTACGTGTGCTTGGTAGTTTGTTTGACGCGTAGGCTTTCAGCCAACCAATAAGGTTTGTCACGTAAAGTAAACGTGCCAATTAGTTACTAATTGGAGAGTAAATCCACAACATTTACAATTTAAGTATGACATTTCGCTGTTAATTACATCCAGGATCATCGGGCGATTTTGCCAATTCTCGCTGTGTCAGCTGGTGGCAGGGTAACGACACATTTATACTTACGGAATCTAACCCAAAACCTTAATGTGGATAGTTTCTACGTAATTTGTTGGTTTCCTCTATATTATTTAACGTAAAGTTCCTGGTACAAATATCTGAATTTGCTCCTCGTATTAAGATAAAATACATCTAAATATCATCTTTGTCCTCTTTAACCTTCAGTTTCCTCTTTGTGTCCCCATTATTTAGACAGTAGTTAAATACAAATATTTAAATGAATGCTGAAAAATAACCCAAATATTAATTTATTTTCTTCAAGCCAAACATTTATTTTGGGCAGAGTGGCAATACTGTAAACGGACAAGCAGTGTTACTTGTCATCTACCACTATCATCTCCTTGGAGAGACTGTCAATATATGACAAGGTAGGTGTAAGATTACATATGTATTTATATTTACTTTTATCTGGAATAAAAAAAATTGTAAAATGTTATCTTTACCAGTTTTAATTTTAGTTATTTCAGTGCTGTAGCTGGAAGTAGCTGGAAAGTATACAACGAAGAAACGCACGCTTGGAATTAAAGACCACGGAAAGAGAAACAATTAAGAGAACATAACCAAGCTAGATGTCAAGCTGCCCGTTCAAAATAGAGAACATGTCCAAGAAGCTAGAGATGTTATGTTGACTGCTCAAAACAGATAACATATCCAAGAAGCTAGAAATGTCATGTCGATTGTTCAAAATAGAGAACATGTCCAAGCTCGACATGTCATGTAAACCGTTCAAAACAGAGAACTTGTCCAAGAAGACGTCCACCATAGAAATGAGAGCGATGAAATCTGCATGTGTTTAAGTTAAGAATTGTTAAAATTACAGGACTGTGTGAAAAATGTAACACCTTCCAGAGGGAAGGACCTCCAGACAATATATTACTTATGGCCTATGAAGATGCAACAGCAGTTGAGCCGCACCTGAACAACTGATCATCATCATTGGGCAATTCAGTAAGTCCAGGTGGGAGATCCACATCAGGCTGCCCTCCTTGGGAAAAAACTGGCTTGACATCTGCGGGAAGAAAAGATTACTCTATTTGGAGTTGAACAAATAAGACAATCATAAACATGTAGAATATTAAGTGATTAAATGTGTAAGTTAATAATTGAATGCTTAATGGTAAACACCACAAGAAAACATGTGTGGCATTATTTAGTCTGAACTGGTTGTGCATCTTTAGTCATGCGATATGCTTTAAAGCATGCACTGACGAATTAAAGAAAGAATGAATCACTTCACCATCTTGACCTTGTAACAACACTACTATATGACTCGTCTGTATGGCATGTGTGCGGTATGTGCAAAGTAGATGGGGGGGACCTAATAGGAAGCGTGCTAAAACCGCAAAACTCAAATTAACTGAAGGCATCCAAGCAATCACTCTCCAATCCTACCCACGCCCATAACAAAACTCTTTTTTTTATTACACCCCTTGCAACATGGGCTGCAAAACAATTCAGAGTATCATTGTTCGTGTAAATTATGGCAAATGGGGCACAGCACTCATCACACTCAGGTTTTTACGTCAAAATCCCAATCAGGGGGTCGTGGACTCCGCCCATCGTCCTTCTGGGATTGAAAAGAAGCGAGTAATCATTTGCGGGAATCCAACCCGTGGGAGTCAAAGGGCGAGACAGATTTCAACAACATAAATACAAAATTCCTAACACGGGCTTTGCAATGCCAATACAAATGAGCACCTGTTTAACACATAGGCTTTCACGACCAATATTATCCATAAGAGGTTTTTCGATTAGATCGCGTTATTTATAAAGTTTTGTTAAACCCGCCACCACCCGAGAGCCAATTAGTAAGGTTTGTCACGTAAACAAAACATGCCAATTCGTTACGGAGTACAGCACACCGATGTGTTGGAGAGAAAATCCACAAAACATTCATAATTTTAGTACAACGTTTCGCCAGCGAATACAACTAGCATCATCAGGCGATGGCCAGATTTTTGGATAAATCCTCCTGTTTGTCTTAAATATTCTATTGCGGAAATAAACACCATCCAATGCTCAGAGATCACGGGGAGATACAAACCCGTTTTAAAAGGAGTGCAAATCTGTACGTAAAAATACGCATTTTCGTCTGTGTAACACACCGGGGACACACAGGAAAAGAAGAAAAACGAGTTGGGGAGGGTGGGGTTAGCCACACTGGTGAGGTTGAGGGGTTAATTGGGCTGAGGTGCACGGGAGGGGCTGATGATCTCAGAAACACTGGGGTGTCGGAGAGAGAAGCACCGACGTCATGCAAGATTAGGGTGATGTTGTGAGGAGGGGGGGTGGATGACATCATGGGACAAAGGTAGTGAGGAAAGGGGAGGGGTGATGACGTCACACACCTCGTCTTCTTGTACAGGGAAATTGAGTTCAGGTCCATATAGCGTACAGCCGTTTCAATACGGGCAAAACACGTTTGTCTATTTGTTTGTGTTTCTCCCTTGTGATGGGACTTTGTAGGATGAACGTTGAGATTTATAAGGGCACGAGGTGACCAATAAGGTCTGAATTGGTCTGTAATAAGGGAGGGCACTGATAAGGGGTTGACAGGTATGTAGTGGTGAGTGTAGTAATGGTGATTGTCTATTTGTGTTTCTCCCTTGTGATGGGACTTTGTAGGATGAACGTTGAGATTTATAAGGGCACGAGGTGACCAATAAGGTGTCTGAATTGATCTGTAATAAGGGAGGGCACTGATAAGGGGTTGACAGGTGTGATGGCGTCATGCAACATTTGCGACGTGCAGGAGAGGGAGCGATGGTAAAAAAGTGCACATTCGCCATCCTCTTTTTAGTGCTGAAGTTCTGCGGGGGGCGGGGGGGTGGTGGTGGGGGTCCCCCTGGCCCAACACGAATGACATTCAAACAAAATAATGGCGACAACTCACCAGACGATGGCGCTGCCTTCTCTGTGCTCTCCTCCGAACGCGTCGCCCTGGCTTCATCCACCGGCTTGAGGGCTGGCACGACACCATCGTCCATCTTGAAGGGGGTGGGAACGCCACCCATCTTCGACAGCTTGCTCCCCACATCCGCGCCCCTCGAGCTGCTTGGTCGAGGTTCGGGGGGGGGGGGGGGCGCGCAGGAGGGAAAAGGAAGAGGCACCGCTCCAGCACCAGCACTTCAAACGCATACCGTGTCAACCCATACGGTTTACCCCGTATTCTTGTAAACAGGGAAATTGAGTTCAGGTCCATACGGCGTACAACTGTTTCATTTCAATAAGGGCAAAACATTTCTCCCTTGTGATGGAACATTGTAGGACGAACGTTGAGATTTATGAGGACACAGGGTGACCAATAAGGTCTGGTATGGTGTCAGAACGCGTCGCGCAGTTCCAGTGAGACTCTATTAAATTAAAAGCTGAAGAGATGCGCCTTTAAGACGGTTGTGAATAAGGGGATGGCATTCCAGATGCATACCTGTCAGCCCATGTGGTCTACCCGCCAGTATTCTTGTACAGGGAGATTGAGTTGTCAAGTCCATACGGCGTACAGCCGTTTCAATACGGGCAAACAAAAATTCGTCTTGTGTTTCTCCTTTGTGATGGGACTTTATAGGACGAACGTTGAAATTTATAAAGGCACGGGGTGACTAATAATTCCTGAATTGGTATGCAATAAGGTAGGCACTGATAAGGGGTTGACAGGTATGCAAACGGCACAGCCTACGGGGGGAGTGGTGGGGGGGCAGCACCTGTCCTTGCACTTCAAACGCAGACCAATATTCCACTCCCAATAATACCAAGCTTCAATAAAGTGTGCGTGCAAGTGTGTGAACAGTTCACTTCCCAGATTACTTCGATTTCCGAACAAAGTGCCGCACGCTTGACATGGTGCTCCCTTCGATGCCATGTGCATATATACCCCCCTATTCAAATTATGTGTTTAGGCAAATCTGTAATTTTAGAGAGCGAAAACAATGTCTCTCACCCTGTGTTTGTAAAAATAAAAGTTTCACAATTTTAGTAACAAAGTATTATTTGCAAGCAAAATTTAGACTTGTAATCAAAACAAAACAATGTTTAAATATATCTTTAATTGTGCTTTTTATATTTTCATTCGATTCCCAAAACGACTGTTCTAGGACACTTGTAATTTAAACATTGCAATTGTGGTTCAGCCTCTGAATCAGTTTGTACGAAAAAATATTAATTCTTTGAAGAGTATAATGCCTGAATTAGCTGCTCACAATCGTGTTTTGTAGTCGATGCAAAACAAATCAAAGTGTAAATCCTGAGCAAACCGTATTTTATTTCAATAAGCCCTGAATGCTGACGAAATCGAAATACCAGTGCGCAGCAGTGCATTTCATGTTGGTTCATTCGTAAGGAATGTGTGCGTGGGATGATGAGATGACATAACAAGTCAGCAGAAGACAAAAAAGGCGCACCATAGTCTAAACCCATTGTCTCAAGCGGTCATAAGCAACACAACACATTGCTACACGAATGGCAATTATATATGGGGGAAACATTCCCATGGTACAAGAGACTCGGGAAATAAAATCCACAACTGAACAGTGATTTATAGGCAGCTGCTCTGAATCACCCCAGTGATCACCCCAGTGATTCAGTATTTCCTTCACCTTTTTTTACTTGTGGTCAAGTGTCCTTACTATTCAATGGAATGCACCACCATTGCAGTTCTGTGATTTTTGTGTCTGTGGTGCACCCCCCCCCCCCCATGATCCCCTAAAGGACTGCTCTAGGACACCTGCATATTTTAGCATAAATCAATTCACTAAACATACAAATGAGAACCTATGCATCTAAGGAAATTGACACATCCACCAAGACGTATACATGTTACTTACTGTGCTCATCAAATATTTTCAAGGTTATGTAAAAGGTGTGTGGTGCGTTTCGTAATTACAAGGCAGACCAGTCGACACAACAAAAAACTTACTTTGCTGAATGGACTGTTAACTAAACCTGGAATGTGTGTACTGCACTATGGCTCTGTATCGACATTCCTGTTTTTTCTAAAAGATTACAACGCTCCAGCACAGCAGCCAGGAAATATCAACTGCACAAAGAATGATAGCCATTGTCGCAAATAATTTAATGTCATTGGTAGCGCGAATTTACACAGGCACCTTTTAGAATCCGTTACCTAATGAAGCTTTTCTTCAAGAATTGAAACATTATTTACATCACTTCAATCCGGTTTACACTGAATTTGACATTTTTGAACGTAATACGTGTGGCAGTACAACTATCACGCAACTTAACTTATTTGAAATTTAAAAAAACTTAAACTCTAGTATTGACTATTAAGCAAAGTCATCCACATTGACATTTAAAATAGCGTAAATGCATAAACGCTGCACTTATATTTTATTTCTAAAGGCTCCTATGACACGTCTTTCAATAACAGCATTCGAACTCTGCCAACTTGAACACACATTTAAACAAGAGGTTATTTGTTCAGTTGAATTCTGCTTAAACAAACTTATTCCATTTCCTCCCATCCAAAGCTTGTTCAATTCGGTCAAACCTGGCACTACTTGTTTTGGCTAATAGCCTTTTCTAAGAAATCTTCAAAAAGGCTATTGGTTGGAAACATTGACTGCATCACATTATTCCCCTTCAATAGGATCAATTGCTTAATTAGAACCTTAACTTCCCATTGAAAATATGTCTCAAGGGAGGCCGAGGGAAAATGTGCAAGACACGTTCTGAAGCTAAAACTGACCACCAAAAAAAATGTTTTTGCAACGTTGAATTTAAATCAAAGTGCCCATGCCACTGTACTGTCTGTATAGTCTTACCTAATGAATCATGTCATCTATATAAAAGTGTATTAAGACCGTAGCAATAGTTTATGCTCTTCGAGAAATGCAGGTTCGTACAGCAATGGCTGATTTAATATTGCATAACTAACCTTGGATCACAAACAAGGACATTGCCAAAGAAAATTTAATGAAACTGAAAAACTGGGCAGAGAAGCATGGAGAGCTACATGCTTGGAATTACACTGGGACACCGAAAGAGGAACACATGGATTGAAGTACACACGTAAGTTCGAAACATCATTTTGAATGTTAAGAAATCCATGTGGGCTTTGGCAGGACATGTCGCTCGAGGGGATGATGTCCGACGATTGAGACTAACGTCAAAATTCCAGCCGGAGGGAACACATCCAAGAGGTTGTCCACCAAAAGAGATGCAGCATTGAGATCAGCTCGTGTGCAGGTACTACGTGAATTGTAACGTCACAGGACCGCGAGAAATGGTGACAGCCTTTATCTCGCAGTGAATTAATCATGGCTGATGGTGAATTACCCTTCACAGTAACCCCACAAGCACAACTTGGCCATCAACCACGCACATGAAAAGGCGACGTGTTCACATACACATTTGCATACACAACCTTGAAAAGGGACCCGATTGTGCACAACATGCAATAACTTTTTTTTGCCTGGCACAAGGCAAGCAAACATCTGACCCAGGGGATACATGAATGAACTGTGACACTTTACCCCTGAAGCACACATTGAAGATGATCGCTCACACCCACTGCCCACTATTTTTATATACATGGCCGTTGGGGTAAACTAAACCTTAATAAAGAACCAGCTGCAACATAAAAAAAATTGGATTTTTTTACCCATCACCATCCCCTCCAACCCCCAAGACACACTTAACATTACTGAACCAACCCTAAAGTGACTGCATATTATACGCTAACCAGTTTAAAAGGTAACGTAACATGCTTTTCCGCACTTTACACTAGCATTCATGTTCTGTAAGAAACCTCAACAGTAGTGTTTCAAATTTGTACGGCAAAAAAAGGCCCCACTATAAAACATAGGGTCTATTTCATTTACCCTTGGGTACCATGCTAGAAGATAGGAGCTGCAGTGCATGAGAGCTGACATGGCAAAGCATTGAGACGTTCAAAAAAGAGTACTGTGGGCTAGACGAGAAGGGACTTGCCAGTCACTGAGCCTCGAATTAGATTTGGGGTGCTGTATGCCAGTCCCTTATAATAACTGTTCAAAAGGCTATGCAAACACGGGTGTTATTGGGAGTCAGATCGCCCACAACTATGGTATGCATACAATGAACATGCCCAAGGCAGGCAACTAGACAGTACAATCATTTCCTCTTTCAGAATAGCTGAAATTTTATTCCAGCTATTCTGAGTCCCCCAATGGATGAAGGTCACCCCATGCCAGTCATTGTTTTTTTACCATATGATCAGTGGGTTGGCGAAGGGAGGATAGCAGGACCAGTTTTGTTATCACTCGCCACTGATGTTAGCTGTGGATCGGACTCGAACTTGGGTAACTCGATCCATCATGCAGTGCACTAACCGGTGTACCACAACTTCAAACGAAAATATTTTTTTGTTAAATCGACAGCAGTATGAAAATATCATTTATTTAATTTCAATTATAATAATCTTATAATCTGTGTGAGCATAAAAAAAATCATGACAATGCAAGTTGGCCATAACTTGGCAGCATCATGGAAGGCTTACAAAATCGTCTCTCCCTATGACTTTGCCAAGCAATGCTACCCCCCCATGCATTGTGTGGAGCTGGAGGCAGGTGAATAAATATTCACTGAACCCTAACTGCCAGAAGACAACAGAGTACTTGATAAGCAATTACGTGTGCATAATTGCGGAAAATTATTTTTTAAAAGGAAAAATTTCCTTCATGAGTACCAAGAAAACAACAGCTTTACAGGGAACTACAATAAATACAAAAATGCCAAATAGTCAAATGGTCTCCCTGCTCTAACGAGCTACACGGCACCATTCATAGCTTTAAACCACATGTGGAAAATTCTACATATCCACAGAATGACTAGTTGGAATGCCCACAACATGGTATTTAAGCAACGCCTACTGCCCTCTATCCTCTGAAGATGATTTCAGCTCAACATTTTTCAAATGCAAGTCCAAGGGATTTAACCACAGCACCACATACATAAATATGCACTGTATCTAAAACATAATTGACCATTAATAAAGTATTTGTGCCGTGGTGCAATGGTGAGCACACTCGACTTGCAATCCGGCACGGGAAACAAATGGGCAGGTTTCTAAAACCCTCTCGTCTGACCACCCAACAAAAAAATGGGTGCACCACATTTAGTCAATTGGCAGGGCATGTGTGGTGGGGTAAAGTGTTAGTACCCCCACCTCTTGCAAGACACCTGGCCAATGTGGAATATTATGACAAATTACAGGTATTTTTTTACTGTAACTCTAAGATGGCCTCCATAATTGAGGGGCTATCTTGACACAATTTCAACCGAGAGGACGGTTTCAAATTAAGCAACCATTGGAAAGATGTTCTGAATCAAACCAAACATTAAACTAATTTTCAATGGTACAGTATATTTTTTCAAGTAGTGGTATCCCAAACTTTCGCAGCTGCTTAAATTCCCTTTTCACACCATCAATATGTAAACTCCCCCCCCCTCGCCGGTCTGCATATGCTCCCCCCCTGTACATCGTTCATCATGCTAAGTCTGCCAATTAAATGCTAATTTTTTATGATAATTCCTTTATCAAGGCGCTCTGCTTCCTCTCACACAGCTTAAAGGTCGCGGTCTGAGCTTGGCTGTGTTCACTCCAGCGCTGTCCTCTAGACAGTCTGGTCCCTTCACCTGATGAAGGCCACTTGTGTTGTGGCCGAAACGTCGTGAATTTTTTATTTTTTGTTGTTTTTTACGTGACTTTACCGAATAGAACCAAAGAGTATGGATCCTTGCAGTCACGAAAGCTTTAAATCTAGAAGGGCTATCTTGAGTTCCCTCAGGTGGGGGACCTTCCATATGCAGTGGCGTGAACAAGTTTAAGGCACGACTGTACCTATAACTGCACCTATTGATATATAACTCATGATGTGCTGTGGAGCATTATGGGTAAAATAATATATAACTTGAACTCTGCTCCGTCTAAAAATATGAATGAAACGTCTCATTTAGTCCACAGCAATATGATCCAGCAGCGTTTGTTAAAGCAGAAAACAAATTAACAGGTTTAAACTTTCTGGGTATCATCAGCCGTCACGCTTATTAATAAAATGCTGCCGAGCGACGAAATATTATTTGGCGAGAGCACTCCGTCCAAGTGCTCGGTTGGACAGGTGAGAGTCTGGAACAAGCACTTGCCCGACGGAGCTGGTGGGCTGGCTGGCGGAGCCGCGGTCCGACTGCCCGGAGCCCCGGTCGTCGCGTGGGGAGCGCGGCCGTGGGCCGGAGCGAGCATTGTCACCATTGGAGCGGTCCGAACGGTCCGAGCGGTCCGACTTGAGGGAGCGGATGTCCGAGATGTCTACAGAGAGCAGTAAGATCCATGGTCAGTTCGGTGGAAATGTTTTTGCGTGCAGGCTTTTCCACTCATCGAAGCTGGGGGCGAACCTCAATAAATATTCAGTTGACAGTTACGAGGCAGTTAAAATGACTCGAATGTAAATGCGCTCTTAAATGTGTTTTGCCGATAGCCCCCAGGTTGGATGAAAAAAATGTTCAATATGTATTTCACCTCATCAGCATTTTACTACAAAACAAACACTGCAGGCTTCATTAATTATAATACAGGAAATAGACGCTACTATACCTAACAATTGGTGAAATATATTTTGGATGAATAATTGAATTCCTGCATCTAGGATGAAGCATTTGCTTTTCAACTATTTACAAGATGAAAGTGAGTTTCAGTGATTAGTAGCAAATCAAATGTTTGCTTGGTAATATACTCATAGTAACTGTAGGCTTAAAAGTTCAGAGGTGTGAAGGTTAGGTCAGTCGTGAATCAAAGCCAGGCATTAAACATTGATTCGATATCTTAAAGTTTGCAATGCATCCATGCACTGTCATGAGAAACTTAAACACCTGAGGTCACTAATTTGATAGATGCCAGTTCATAGCCTAAGGCCAAGTCTGCTGATATTAAAGTCTGAGATTCATTTAAGAGGCCCCTGAGTAAAGCTGAGACAATGACCCCTGCTCCAAATGATTCTTATCCGAGTAGGAAATATGCTATGATCTAAAGTATAAAATCCACTTGCACACCACATAACTTAGCATTCCACGTATATATTGCTTATTTAACCAAGTAAAAAAACTGCTCTGACACAACAAGTACGATAGAAAATTTAATTTCAAAAACATAGTTAACAAAAATGAATGACAAGGCAAGGTGATATGCGTATATAACCGTTATCCATTATAACATTCAGTGTTTTGTTTCCAGTTAAAACAATTATATGACCTACAGTTTAGGGAACTCAATTTTCCTGGAAATATTCCAAATGCACTTGCTCGTGCCTTTTTTGCCCCAGCTGATAATATAACAGGCCGTAAGCTTAGTCAGAGCATTCTTTATCAGCACGAGCAGGGCAACACACAGGGAGTTCATATGAATTAGAGCAGTCACTCTTGACCTACAACATAGTTCAGCCTCTTGTCTACTTATCTAATGCATGCAAAAATAGAAAATAGTGCATCACCCATATATTACAATTGCCATTTCTCCACCACTTTATTTTAAAAAGACAAAATATATGGCTACACCATTTTAACCTGGCAAGTGAGACACAGACAATCTGTAGATAACAAGACAGCAAGACTATTGAGAGCCAGTTACTTTGACATATACCATTTTTCTCAAATAAACTGCTTCAAACCACATGCAAAAAAATGACCAAAAAGGAATCAGCAAAACATCCCAAGCAAAACCATCTTGTAAGTGTCTTGAGAACTCAGCTGAGACTCAAAACAGTCCGTGTCTTCCAGATCAAACGAGCAACGAGGTCGTGCTCATCTACCTTGGCAGCCCCCAGTCGGTGGTGGAAATTTCTTATTGCCATGGTGGGGGGGGGGGGTCAGCCGCTCTCCATAGGACGACCACTGTTGACTTCCCACAGAGTGATAATCATGTTATTCATCCAAGAGGCAAGACAGGCTGGATCCAGACTGCCAAAAGAGATTTGAACTCGCAAATCATCGGACAACGGGTCAAGCGCTTTAACCGCGTTTCCACCTGGACAGATATTCTGTAACAGTTGAGACTTCTTCAGAAAATAAAGGACAATTATTTTTTTACGGGCTGATGAAAGATAAAGGCTCAATTACCACTGTGGTCAGAGCCGTCTGATGAAGGCGGGCTGTCATCCAACTCCGGCATGTTGGTGAGCGTCTTCCTCTCATCGCGCTGTACCACCAGTTTCAGCTTCCCCTTGGACTTTTCAATCAGCTTCCGGGCATCCGCCAACGACATGTTCTCAGTCACAGTGCCGTTTATCTGTCAACGAAGACAAGTTTCAGCAAGTGTCAGATGAAGCCCTTTGCCCTCTAGCACACATACACAACGCAGAGATTAAATAAAATGAGACAAGGCGGCTTGTGCTGATCTTGCGCTGCTAAAGGTTATGTGGATTTAACTATGTCTAGTTCATTCACACTGCAATTCTAGATTTTATCCATAATAACTCTTCATAATGCTATTTTTTCAAGACAATGATACAATTATGTTCTAGAAATTTAAAAAAACTTTTTTTTATATATATACACACTACCTTAATTTCTCTATTCTCAAACAGAAATATGCGAGTTCAAACACCAATAGGCATCGACTGTCGATCACACCTCCAGGGTGGATAAAATATACAGTAAAACCTTGGATTGCGTGTAACTTGGTCTGCGAGTGTTTTGCAAGACGAGCAAAAATGTTAAATAAATATTAATTTAATAAACGAGCGAGGTCTTGCAATACGAGTAATACGTATACACTTTGTCTGCCGAGCATCACGTGATCACAACTGATATACGAGTGCTTTGATATACGAGTGCTTTGGATTACAAACACGTTTCTGGAACGAATTATGCTCGCAATCCATGGTTTTACTGTATCACTTGTGATTCATAAATCAGAAGATTGTTGTTGGAAGAACACAATAGCCCGAGAGAGTAAATTTTACTTACCGACTTAAACATTATTTTAAATTCCAGTAAATAACAAAAGACACAAAAGCAAAACAAAATGTTGTGAATTGAGGCGTTCTCGGCCCACCTTCAGTACAATGTCACCCTCTTGAATGTTGCCATCCCGGGCTGCCAGTCCATCGTTGCCAATGTCCTTCACATAGATGTGGCTGCCCAGTCTCAATCCATAACCTACAACACAAAAAATAAACCACACTATGCACTTCGATTTGTAAAAAAAAAAACGATCTGAAACATTACATTCAGGTACATAGAACGAAATTAGATATGTCAATATAGTCCTCACACTTAATATAATCCTAAAATACACCCACACCAACTATTAGACATTATCACCCAAGAGATTTTCTCCTGTGTGGTATACTACAATATTTTATTTTTGTTAATTACCATATTGCACTGAGATTCATATTTTGCAAGATACACCAAAGACATCAACAAAAATGCAGATTTAAATCAACTCACCACCTCTGCGATTAACACTCCATTATAACCGAAAAAACACAATATACATTGTTATAACAGTGTTAATGATGAAATAGTTTTTTTAGATTTGTGTTTGTACACGACTTCAAGCACACTTCTAATTTTCATAGTTCATAGGCAAAAAAAACCATTACACATGGACCAACATATACAAACACGAGATTCAGTCATATACACAACCGCAAGCAAATAAGGCACGTATTATATACCTCAGGGACAGCACAAGAAATGGTTAATGTGGAACAAGCGTATCTACTGCCTTGGTGAAAATTGGGAGAACCTTGCAATATATTTTCCGATGACAAGCCTCAAGGTAACGGGACCGTGGGGGCTACATTTTGTACATTCGCGAGATGCACTCGTGGCAAATTGCAATTATGCACACACAAACACACGTGCACATGGGATTCCATATGCAAGAGTACACTTATGCATTCGTACACGTGTGATAAATGTGCATGCAAATCTAAAAAGCAATTGCAATAAGACCAAAGCACCCACGTACTACCTATGCACTCACTCAATTAGGGCGAGACACACCACCATAAACGAGATTGATTTAATTCCCGAATCTAAAAGCATGCACGAAACGAGCACTGAGATATGGCACTTGCAAGTGTGAGCATGGCCACGTGTGTCGCCGTTATCGAAAGCTGATGTGTAAACAGAGAACGTGTAGCCAAAATCCGGTTACAAAAATTCAGCACAAAGGGAACCACACATTGGTTAAATCCACCACTATTATCACTAATGTAACTTCCCACCCTCACTGCGGGTCGGGCAAATCACTTGCGAGCCCAGATTTAATTATCGGCGTTAAAGGAGGCTCCCCTGACAACGGACGCCAGGGGCAAGAGAGAGGGAGAAGATTTGCACGTCATCCGGGGCGAAGAGTTTTTTTTTTTAATTATAATTAACGCAGTGGTGTCTCACCCTCAGAGGGCTTGCTCTTGACCAGCGTGACCTTGATGGGGCGTTGCGGGCGGACGGGCGAAGTCGAGTCTAGGGTCCCCATCGACTGACTGCGGCCCTGGCTCCAGATGCGTCCATGCGGCGCCGCGCGATCGCGATCCAGGCTGCGCTCCCTGCTCCGATCCAGGCTGCGCTCCCTGCTCCGATCCACGCTGCGCTCCCTGCTCCGATCCACGCTGCGCTGCCGGCCACCACCACCGCCCCCCCCCCTGTCGAGGCTGCGTTCCCAACTGCGCCGGTTGTCGCGGTCAACGCTGGGATCCCTGCTGCGTCTCCCGACCTGGTCAAGGCCGTACTCCCTGCTGCGGCGGCCCGAGCGGACGGGGCTACGGCCGCTCCTGTGGTTGCGGCGGTCGTCGTCGTCGTCAGGGTGGAAGCCCACGTCCATGTCGTCGTCCTCGTCGTCGTCGTCGTCGTCGTGGTGGTGGTGGCGCTGGTGGTCCAAGCGGTCGAGGTCACGCCGTGGCTGCAGCTGCGGGTCCATCCGTCGCGAAATGGGGATCTGAACCAACTTCTTGCGACGCACCGTCTGACAAAAGTGAAACAGAACAAAATGGTGAAAATGCGATACATACGGTGGAACAAAAAGTTGTATTTAAAAGTCTTTAAGTTAATGTAGCGGATTGTGGGGGGGAAACTTTAATTATATAATTATTAACCGGCTGCAATGTACCTCCTTATAAGCAGTTTTGGCTACAGTAAAAAGTATTTTATTATGACTTCAAAAGAATCGTCCATTTTTATTAACGTTAAAGTAAACGACTAAATATTCTTGTGAGGCAGCTCAGCGGGAAGTTCTTTGTTCTACAAAATTCCGTCTTTGCACAAGGAAACGACAAACTCCAGTGCTGCACGGTTTAAGAACAAATTAGACAAAGGCAGGAAAGGTCCCTTCCCAAGTCCAGAGCTCCCCTGGTTGGTGGACTCTTCAAAAATAAATAACTGCTAAATTAATAAATTAACTTCGCTACATGAAAGAAAATGTACTTACAATCTGTGCAGTCTTTCCACTTTTCCTCAACTGCTGGACAGCAAATGCATGATCTACATTGTCCATTGACACTCCATTCACCATGACCACTCTGTCATTCTCACTGTTCACAGAAACAAAATACAGACCCGTAAGAATTCAACCACAACATTTTTTCTTGTCATTAAATGTTTTTATTTGTAGCCACATATATGTCAGGTGTTTTGTTGACAGCATGAAACCATGCCAAGTCACCAAAACATCTGTACTACACACAGACATACAAGCATACACACATCCGGTCAGGTGGCTTGGCAATAGGGTAAGCGGTTCACAATTGGAAAGATGCAAATTCAAATCTTGGCTGGGGTGACGACTCAGCCCATCATCACACTAGGGTAAAAAAAATGAGTACCACTTTGCAGGGAACGTCAACAGTGGCCTTTTTTATTGATAGGCTCGCCCTAATGTGGTGCTCATCTTCCGGTTACAGCCCAGCAACTCAGGGCTGTAAAGAGAAGACCTCTACTCTTTATTTTAGCAGGAAATCACTTCAACTTTGAGTAATTAATAATCGATTGGTCGGGGCTATCATCTCTGTGGTATTTCACGCATCATCATATATCACTGTGCAAAATGTGAATACTACATTGCCATACATGAATAATGCAGCAGATGCTTCCGTGCTTTTAATAGCAAGTTAAACATTAAGACTGTACACGCTAACACAATAATGAATAAAGAATGAATGCCCACGATTTAACTTTAGGTCTTCACATTGTCCTTTTAATACCAGAGGTTTCTACTGGTGCAGGAAATTGTATCACAAGGTTGCACCGGCAGAACTAAAAGGAAGCTTTCCAAAACTACATTTGGTCCCCAGCTGCATAAGTAACAATGGCGGGATTTGTTTTCTTTATTTTATTCTTCATAAAGGGATGTGAGACGCTTTACATTTAATAGGAAAAAGGGACTATCGCAAAGTTTTTTTTAAATTGTAAAAACTGTGGCAAGGCGTAGTAGTAATATAGTTTAGGAAAATGTACGAGCCCATTTAACATTGTATTTGTTATTCTATGAAATGGAAGTTGGGTTGAGAACTGATTGAATCTTGGGAGAAAAAAAGGTTGATGGCAATTTCTCAACACAACATAAACAAGCATTGCCGAACAATCATTTTGGGATAATTATGAACTTATAATTATTTTTAGCTTGTGCTATTAGAAAACACTTTCAGTTGAGAGTCGTGAAGATGAGGTTTTAAAGTAACCCTGTGAATATCACTGTCAGTGTGTCGATTCAATTTAGCTTGGTGCAATGAATATCTGGTGTTGCTTTCAGCCAGTGCTAGAAATGTAATTCCTAGCAGTACAACCAAAGCGGTCTTCGTTTTATCACCCCTGGGGGTCGATGCAGACTCCCGACCTGACACATGAATCGCAACCTTCCATTTGTGAGTCATGCACCCTTCTGCGATGTCAAACTAAGGCATTGCTAATTACAGCATTAAAAAAAACAAGACCTTCATTCACACTTTTATGCTCAAAGATTGGGTCAAGTGTTTTACGTAGAGTCGCACTGGTGTTTGACAACGCTTTCGCATTTATTTATCTCCTCAACGCTCAAAACTAATTTCCATAAGTGGCTATTCAGATGTTTGGCCAGTTCCTTTTTGAGAATTATTTTGCGGATGGGAGGAAACTGAAGCATGCAGAGCAAAGTAATACATGTCAAGAGTAGAATAAGGTCAACAGCTATTCGTATTCTGCTTCCTATAGGCACTTTGATGACCCCCGCAGGTAGGTTTCACGAACCAATCCATTACACTCCACTTTTAGGTTGTTGAACTATAGGCACGTGTCACCGCACACAACTAACCAAAGTGTTGAAATATAAGCATTGTTCGTCTAAAAGTAAACTATTTTACTAAAAAACTTGGTCAGCATTCTGTAGATTATTTCTAAATCACGTTTTTAGAGAATAACAGTGCTTTAGATGGAAGTAACTCCATCCTGTTATCAAGCATGTGATTTTCATGATGAGGCGTTTTGTCCTTACTCGAGCAGGCCATCTGCAGGGCTTCCTTGCAGAACATCCGAGATGACGATGGATGTCTCTCCACTCTGGAAATGAGGGTTGTCTTTCCCACCTGACACGGCAATCCCAAAGCCCATTCCTGGAGCCTAGGATGAGAGGACAATTACAAAACACAACGTTTCTCTTGAAAAATAAGAATAGGCTCTAACCATTCTGGAAATAAAACAGGTGTTAAGATGTTCAAACACCAAACAGATATGTTTTAAAGGACTCACATACATGTGACAAAATATGCAAACAAACATGCTTTGATAATATGTGCAGTTAATATATATTTGGTGTTTGAACGTCTTAATACCTGTTTTCTTGCCAGAAAGTGTAAAAACTATCCTATTTTTCATACTGGCAAAAACGTCCCAGAGTAGTGAAAGTAACAAACATTTTATCAACAGGATTTATATTTGCGAAAAAAATATTTTTTTGCGGGGTTTTCAACATCATAATTCAGATGATACGTTTAAACAGAGTGAAAAGGTATTTTAAATGAAATTTAATTGTCGAAGGTACCATCCATGAAGCATATGAAACTATGAAAACCAATGTGTTATAAAATAGAGAATTTCCATTTTGTTTGGCATGAACTTACATTTTTGGCTGTTCAAAATAAAGTGTTTTGGTCACGGTATATAATAATTTGAGTCTTCTGTTATCTGAATGAGATAATTATTATAACCATTCTGTCCCAACCGTTTACAAACAAAACACTGCCCCAAGGCTCTGGGAGTACATCAGCCTCTGTAAACATTGACTCACCCTGTTCAGGTTCACGGTGTACTGTTCCCATATCTCGGTCTCCTCCATGCCTGGGCTCTATGATCAAGACACACATGGGCGAATGAACGTTAAAACCCAATTTTACCGTGAAAACATGTTCCACTTGAACACGCCCTGCAGTGTGGCAGATCTTGCCGATCGATCAGAAGGGACATTACAGGATTATAAAGCAGGCATCTAAGGAGTGCAACACAAAAGATGACACAAAGCCTTTCTACCATCCCCCTCCATAATCTGAAGGAAAAAAATTAAGCCGAAAGATTAAGGAATTTCAGGGAAATGTTGATCCACATATGTAACGCTGCGGTGACGCACACGAATGCACACAACGCAGCTGAAGAATGTATCTACGTTGCTGTTTTCGCAATTGTATTCTTCACCCCACCTCTGTCATAGTTTAATCTATCTAAATTACAGTTTAAGTGACTTCTGACATAATTCCACAGTAGTGTGTATTTTTAAACCTTGGTGGCAGCAAATTATACATTCAGCACACTGGGATACAAATGACAAACGGACACAAAACTTGTTAATTATACCAAGGATGTAGGAAACAAACTAGCTCAGAGAAGTGCGAGCACCAGCCGACTTAACGACTCATAGCAGACAGCGAATCAGTGAAGAGGAAATGAGCAGTGTCCCTCCCTTCCTCCTAATTGATGGCTTAGTTGGGGAGCGGGAACAGAGTCTGTGTGAGAGGGTCTGTCTTATTTTAACAAAGACAACGTCACCCCTCAGAAATGCCGCACGAGTGGCTTGTATTAGGTCAAACGCGCACTCCCCCAACTCATGCCAGGTGCATTCCTCAGGTTCACTAACTTTTACCGTGTGCTTACATACCGCGAACCATCTGCATTATAGTGCATGAACCACATTTATTATTCATGCAGTATTTTATGGAAAACTATGTTTGCATTATAAATGAAGCACACCATATGAAAAACTACACCCACATACACATTATAAGTGTGCATGTCCACAAAATGTAGGGAGTGCAACCGATGGATCCTATTATTTTTACATATAAACAAATTCTTCATATCCTGTAATCAATCATCCGTGGACATATAAAACGGAGAATGATGAATTTGACTCCATTCCATAACGTTCCTCATTTCCAGAACAGAAAAAAACACTTTGGCATTAGGAAGCACACATCTGCAGATAATGATTTTTTAACTTGTCAATTTGGAGCTGTCATTAATAGGAATTGTAGGTAACAGTCATGGATGCAAGTTAATATTCACCGTAGTATATATTTTCTAAGGTGGTAATAAAGGTTTGGGTGTGCCAACGCTGTGCCAACCACATGCGACTCAGCAATCGACCGCACTGCATTTAAAAACAAAAACATAATGTATCATAATATACAATTGCAGTCCACAGTCACAGCAGCCATGATTGGTTTAAAAAAATAACTCCTTAATTATAAAAGCAACCGGACTCATTAAAACATCATCATGTTTTATTTCTGGACCTTTATAAATGGTAATTTTTTATATGTATTCAGCCCACTACCATGTGTAAAGCTACTCATTACCAAGACGTTTCAGAACATGCAGAACTGCTTGTACGTGATATATATCCTGGCACCTTTACCTCAAACACTTTTAACGGAAACTTGGATTCGAATATTGAGAACCAATTACAAACATGTGTAAACACATTTCACTCAGACTATTGCTGTCTGTAAGGGAATATTGGTTACTCTTTGGTTCTTTCGGTAAAGTCACGTAGGTAGAAACAAAATAAAAAATAGGAATGATGGGTGTCGGCGTGGCTAAAGGATAATGAGGCAGCGAGGATATGACAAGATAGGCGAGGAATTCAGGGGGAGCGTGCGAGTGTGGTGGATAGCACGCACTGTTCTACGAACCCACGGCCTACATTAGATTATGTAGTGGACATCTTTGAAAAAAAAGAGCTTCAGAGCTCAATGGATCCCTCCAGCGTAAATAAATATTCTGAAAAATACTCTGATTTTGATTCTCGTCCACGGCCAATATCGTGGCAAATATCCAAACAAGTTCTGGGTCTCCCTTTGGTCAACACAGCCTGAAATGAGAGTACCTGGTAAGGTGCAGAACTATTCCAACTTGGAGAGACATATGTCACCGGGTGTAGTATGGCCACACTACCCTCTCGTAAGGTCCTCGCCAATAGCACTTGCCCCAACAGCTTATGAAGACTATAAGTGATATTTAACTTCAAACTATGACTAAAAACACATCTCTATATGCTTGCCTACACCAATAAACTTACAACCACGTGTTTTATGCACTGACGGGTGTGGAGGATGGTGGTGGGAAATTAATTTAAGAATTGTGTTTGTGCTTTTAAATTGCATTTTTTTCAAACAGATGTTATATTTTCTAGTATTGTTGTATTACTTTATTCGAAGTACTAGCGCCTTAGATGGCAGATTGTGCCATAAAGTCACCAGAGATTAATTAAAAGTGAAAATTAACTTTGCTTTGCACGTATGCGTGACTCATTTGGGATCAATCATCGCCCCGTACTGGCAGGGGACAGCTGCTATTGGAGGGTCCTTTCAAATTTTTGAATTGAGATGTGATATAAAGTGATGCCCGGCATACATAGGGCCCTGTATATGTGAAAAACAATCTATTCTTGTGTTTTTTTGTGTGTGCGCGCATGTAAATGCAACTGCTGGCTTACGCAATTGTCCACAACTGGTGGCGTGCATACGAGGCCACGTGCACCGCTCAATGGGGTGTGGATTATTGTGCAGCAGGGATTTAATCAGGAAGGCTTAGCGCTCACTCCGCATACAGCCTGGTGGTCACCATCCACCCAAACACTCCCTCGCTCTCTCTACACATGCACGCTAACACACGTGGGCATACACATTGCTCATGCACACGAGCATGCGTACACTTGAGCCGCTCATGCACACACCACTTATTCAGCTGCGACTCACTGCACATTGAGCACGATGTTATTCTATTGGTTATAAGCATCTCCGGCTGGAGGGCAGAGAGGAATTATTATAACGAGGGGACCAGAAACCCCAGGCTATTTATGTCAAGTCCATCAAAACTTGTCAACTTCAAAATATGACTGTCACAATGTTCCATGACATGGTACGATTGAGTGATCACTGCCCAGTGGTGCAAAGAACTGTTGTTAAACACAGTTGCACACTTGTGATTGGTTTGCCAATGTTACTATTTATCATTATGTAAGCAATATTTCAGTAACGTTGCTTTTGGAATTCAACTGTGCAATGCAAGTCCCTTTGATGTCATCGTCATCATTAATGAGCACATTACCGTCTATGAAAATGAGAAATTACATATTTACATATCACATACTTATTCATCATCAGGTTCTCAAGCACAGATTGCTGCACATCCATATGCTAAACTACTGAAAATTTCCTTCTGACACGGTTAATGCAACAATAAATATTACTTTTCGTCAGATCATAATAATTATAGTATATATAAGACATATATCATACCTAAATTAATTCATAATACGTATGCATATATGATGTAAAATGTTAACTTTTTTTAACAAAAAGTGTCATCTTTTTTTGGCAAAGCAACTACATGACAAAATAACCGATGAATTATGTTCATTTTACAGCACAGAAACACTGATATTTTTTCAAGCCATGTTTGGCATTTCGTTTTCCTGTCAGTACATCGTATTTCATAGAGCAGCATATCATTTGAGTGGACAACTTGGAAGCATTTGTGCCACTGTGTCAGTGTTTTCTCCTGCAAAATTAAAAGTGGGCATTTTTTCCCGTTTGATGTCAGCACAAAAAGTACATTTATTTTCACAAAATTCTTGCACGAGCAATTTTTTAAAAAACAGCAATACATTTCAAACCTTCAAAAGTTATTAGATTTTGTATCTGATAGCCACAACATTCTGTTCTTTCTCAACAACTCGTGTACGGTGGGTACTGCGCACATGCAGTTGGATAAAGCCATAACTTTTTGTAATTTCCACTTCATTCAAAAATGTACTAAATAACGCAAACAATATATGGTGGTTCCCGGCACAAGTTGCCACATTACAAAAACAAACATGCTTCCCAAAAAGTACAAGATATAGTACAATAAAATTCCTTTACATTATTTACATAGAAAGCCGTGCGTTTATAGAAGCATCGAGACAAATATCTCAAGCTACTTACGATTCTCATCACACCCTTTACGGCTGTCAATGTTGCCACCCACTTTTTGATAGACTTCATCGCACACGATAGCAAAGAATGATGGATGCAGCCCCCAGAGTGCTCCCGAGCACGGGGCAGGAAATTAAAAAGGCAGGCCCCAACCATGAACAAGCCAGGGAGGGCTTTGCCGTGGCGGACTAGGCAGGGGGGGGGAGTTTGTGGCTCGGGCGAGGGAGGGAGAGAGACATGAGCACCCCTCAACTTGCATCAACTCACCCAGCCGATTATGCTCCGCAGCAAAAAGCAAAATAAATCACATTCCCAACCAGTACCAGTTTTTTTTACGCATATCCAGCATTCCTCAGCACCACTGCCATAAGCAGGTTCCACACGTTGCCACACGTGACACGCATAGCGAGGAAAGGTCTCCAATTGTACTTGCAGTCATTAAGCCAGCTAAACAGAGCTCTCTATGCAGATTGATTGTCACAGCAATACTGCACTTAATTGTATTTAAATCCATGACGCAAATGGTCAAATGTACCGTATTATAGTGTATTTGTACTCTTATAATACCAAAAGTTAAAAATAACAGTCAGACGTTTGAGAACATTACACAAAGTTCGCCATTTTAAGATAATGTTTACAAGAGAGAAAGAATGTCAAGTTTGAGAGTAGACCTGATGGCTCATTGGGACATTCTATCTACAGGAAACCCACCCACACAGATTCCTACTTGAAACATGATTCCCACCACCACCCGGCTCAAAAGAATTCTCTCATCAAAACGTTATACCACAGGGCTCATTGCATTTCGGACCAACACCACCTGACCAGTGAATTAAAACATGTACATCTGGCCCTCAAGAGGAACGGATACTCTGACCGTACCATCTGCCAAGCTGTTTCTCCCTCCATACAGAAACAACCACTTGATACTCCAATCAAAACCATCACACTACCATATATAGCAGGCGTTACTAAAAAGATCTCCAAAATACTAAACAAACACAAGATCCTGGTCCGGTTCAATACAGTACACAAAATCTGTGAGCTGATCCCATCCGTGAAGGATGTCATTCCTGACTTACAGTACCCCGGGGTTTACAAATTGAGCTGCACCTGTGGTGACTGCTACATCGGGGAGACGAAATGACATGTCTCTGACCGAATTCGTGAGTACAAATCAGATTTGAAACACGGCAGAACGAATTCTTCTGCCGTAGCTGATCACTGTTACAACGCTGTGGGTGATCACGATATAGTTTTCTCCGATACCAAGGTTCTCTGCAAACCCACGGGTTTTTATCAGATTTGTCCACGAGGCAATTCAGATTTACAAACACAGACACAATTTCAACCGAGAGGATGGTTTCAAATTAAGCAATCATTGGAAATGTTTTAAATCAAACCAAACATTAAACTAATTTTCAATGGTACAGTATATTTTTTCAAGTAGTGGTATCCCAAACTTTCACAGCTGATTATTTTCCCTTCAAACCAACATTACGTAAACTCCCCCCCCCCGCGCCGATCCATCATGTACCTCCTACGTACATCATGCTCATTTTTATGCTAATTCCTTTGTCAAGGCGCTTTTGTTTCCTCCCACACAGCTTAAAGGACGCGACCTGGGCTTGCTGTTCTCAGGACAGTCCGGTCCCTTCACCTGATGAACGCCACTTGTGTTGTGGCCGAAACGTCGTGATTTTTTGTTGTTTGATTTTTTACCTACGTGACTTTACTGAATAGAACCAAAGAGTATGGATCCTTGCAGTCACGAAAGCTTCAAATCTAGAATTAAAAAATATGCACGAATGTTTGGGGGGATATACCCAGTATGCTCTGTCAAACTTGCTTGTTTAAACCATCTTTACTTTTCAGATGTCCAAGAGCCAGAAAATGTCATACACTATAATTAACGCCTAAGAGTACAATTCAGAGCACTTGAAAAACAGTCAGATTGCAAAGTCAAGTACTCTATTGCAAGGAACAGATAGCAAATAAGTAGTTTACCCTGGCCACTTTCCTGAATGTGCCGTGAACCAAAACTGACCACTTTGCTAACATCCCCCCCAAAAAATAATAAATTAATACACGTTAAATGAGCTCGGTATGCCTTTGCTCAAAAACTTCAGATAAAACATAAAATATAGAGCCTGCTCAAAATCTGCTGGACCAAATTATAATAACACATGACTGGTTTGGTAATGGAAGGCACAACATATGGATATTGCATGTAGATTAGTAGTTACACGAGTAGACGACTATTAACTTAACCACCACAAGGATGCACACAATACTCATTCACCAATGGTACTGTCTAAAAAGAAAAATATATAATAGGCGACATTCCTGGTAATGGCCCTTCTTCATTGCACATAACTGAGAAGGGCAATTTCCCAAAACGTCACCTATTACATGTTTTACTTTTAAAGCAGCGTTATTGACGAATATGTAAAGTTTATTATTTGTGCACCAACTGCAGCATCAAAAATAATTTGTTTAACAATGATCAACATACCTCTTTGTATGCAAAAATAAATGCTTATTTCAGTCATCATAAAAATAAAGACATGAATTTCCACATGACCCCTTTAGAATCTGTTGAGATGCAACATACATTTTAATCCCTTTAGCAAAGTGAATATGCATAAAAAGTTAATTACCATTATTGTACGCAATCTATAAATCTGTACACTTTCAAATAATTTTCTAAATGTTGGATTTTGGCTCCGTGACCAACACAGGAGCCAACTCCTGAAAATTACATTTTCCAGTGTTTAATATTCATTCAGACACACTTTGGTAACACAAGTACACGACCAGACAGCTGCTTTACTTAACCAGTTGAAATGTCTACCCTGAAGAGAGACCATTGCCGAAAACGCAGTACCTACTACAGAACAGAATGTGCTCTTACTTTATAATGCAGTCCTACTTATGTTGCTGATGGGCAGTTTCCAATTTGAATGTGTATAAACTGGCTTAGTGAGAAACATGCTAACCACAAAGCTATGCAGTCACTTTATGACTCTAACGATGACTACATATTTGGAGTTTGCATGTTCTTCTGCGGGTCCTCCGGTTTTTCCCTCCACATTTAGAAACATGCGTTTAGAGTATTTGGCTGCTCGTAAATTCCCACATCAGCCACTTCGTTGAACTATCATGTGGCCAGGTCGCTTCTGAAAAAGAGCTACTCTAAAGCTCAATGGGGCTTGCTAAAATAGAAAAAAGCTTGAGAAAAAAATACAAAACTTAGATTATTATGTTAATTATAGTACTATTTAGGTAAAGATGCAACCCTGGAAATTGTTGACTCAACACCACTGTTAGAGAAAGGGCATCCACTAGAGCAGCGGTCCCCAACCTTTTTGGCACCAGGGACCGGTTTCGTGTAAGACAATTTTTTCACGGACCAGGGGGGGGGGGGGGTCATCATTGGGTCTTTCCCCCTTTTCAAAAAAGCTCTCCAGCGACGTTTGTTTTTTACTCATTTTGGCTACCAGGGTTAGCTTGTGGGGCTTACCAAAACTGAGACAAGTTGCGCAGTGTGGGAAAGAGGCGCGGACGGAAGTGGTAAATAAATAATGGGGGCGGGCCACGCGCGGACTCACCGCTCACCTCCTGCTGTGCGGCACGGTTCCTAACAGGCTACGGATCGCTACCGGTCCGCGGCCCGGGGGTTGGGGACCCTTGCACTAGAGGAAGCTCCAGATAATCCTCTAGAGCAGTGGTTCTTAACCTTTAATGCAGCCTTGCACCCCTTTGGTTCTTAATCGTAAAAAAAAAAAAATTATACTATTCATAAAGGTTTGAAGAAACAAAGTAGTTGTACTTAAGTGCCTGTGTGCTAATTTGTGTTCAATGATTTACCTTCTAAAAAGATCTGGCATGTCTCGGCACCTGCAGAAATGGCATCTTGCACCCCAGGTTAAGAGCCACTGCTCTAGAGGGTATTCGGCATAATTCCACACTGTCCAGGCCTCTTGGCAGCGGGGCGAACAACCACATTTTACCCCCACCACACGCGACCTGCCGATTGAATAGCTGCACAATATTCTAGAACTGATTTTCGTGTTCAGCTTGATGTCCTTCCACACCTCCGATTAGCACGGTTGGCTACGTACGGTGGGCAAGAAGTTCACGCATTACATTACTGTATAGGACATGCCGTAATTAGGTTATGAAATAACCAAATCAACTTTGTATTTGACCACCACGCAAAAAACGAGTTTGCATAGGACTGTACAAATGCATGGTGGGCAGCGTGGATACATTTATTGCAGAACTATACTTCCGCACCGATGCTTCCCGCCTTCACCAACCCGCTTTGAGTTGCCTTGTTATGTATGATCAAATACGACCACACAAGTGCGCTGGGGGAGGCCTTCATCCAGCAGTGGATTGACAAAAACTGGCACAACATATACATTAGGTTTACAAATACTCAAACTCACATTTGAAGAGTTCAGCGCACAAGTGTAAAAAAAAATTCCGTGCACGTAACATACCAATGAGCACGATAACCTATTGTGTTTTTTAGGGATCGCATGTCTGCTGACATTGCCATTCACGGTGGACGCAGACTAAACAGCAACCCCTGGCACAAAATGGTTCGATTGAGTGTGATAGATCACCCCGAACAGCGCGATATCCTCCCTTGACACAGCCCGACGACCTGCCAGAATCATTAAGCTCCAGTCAAATCGCACTGTACGCCGCCCTCTCAGGGGCTACAGAAATGGGAACACAAGGCCACAGGCAATTAATTAGAAGTTTTACTGCTCAAATTAGTTCACAAGAATTAACAGCCTGCCATAAAGTGGGAATTGCTATGCAAATTGCTCAATTGACAACATGTAAACACAAATTAATCACACTACACTGCTGTGTTAAATAACGACTAAGTAGGTCTATGCACCATGTTTTTAATTACTTTTTTAACTGGTAATGTGACTGCTACAAGCATGTGCCTTCTCACAACCTCCAGTCAGAGCAATGGGCTCAATGCTTCAAAGTCAAGGTGAGTTAAAGCCTTCCACAGCATCTGCCAATATCCCATCAATGAACTTGTCTCCACTCGCATGTTATCAAACAGGCCACCAGTCGACCAACAAAAAAATGTTATTCAATCTCACATTGTTGACGATGGCTAATGTTAGGAGCAGTAGGAGCATGTAGTGGCATTGCCTTTATACAACCATGAATAACCCATAATACAGGTTTTTGGGGTTAGATCGCGTAAATATAAGTGTCGTTAAACCCACCACCACTCGACAAAGCCAATTAGTAAGGTTTGTCACGTAAACAGAACGTGCCAGTTCGTTACTAGTACAGCACACCGGTGTGTTGGAGAGCAAATTCACAACATTTACAATCTTAGTACAACATTTCGCCACTAATTACAACCAGCATCATCAGGCGGCAACCAGATTAAATGGCTGTGTCGGGTGGTGGCGGGTTTAACGACATTTATGCCATCTAACCCAAAAAACCTGTATTATGGATATTAGTCGCGAAAGCCTACGTGTTCAACCATGAATAAATGAGCTTGGAATATTGAAAATCGATTTCAATTAAATACTGCATGCAATATATGCTAAAAATATATATTTAACGATACAATATCGGTCCTTATAAAAACAGGTTTGTCAGTCCACGAAGATACACATGTTCACAAGCTCCAATAAGCACAGTTGTATTGGCAGTCCT